AAAAAGGGCCATTTCTTCGCTGTGCAGGTCTTTAGAAGACTGAAGAAACTTTTCTCAGAATGCCCCCACATCACCACCAGCGAACTTCCCTTTCCAGAATTAGCTCCCATGCCCAAGTGTGCACCACCCCATTGACAAAGGAATGGCGGCAAGAAGGAAGCCCCCCACCAATGCCTTCTGCATCTGAAGAGGTGCAGAGAAAAGAGACAAGAAGACCCTGGCCCGAGGTGGCATTTTTCCAAGTCCCTTTGTCCCACACTCAACTCTGACCTGTTAGTCAGTCTTGCTAACTCTGGCTACAGAGCCCTCCACTGGGGCCTGGTTTTTATCTCCCTGCTTCCCTCTCTTGATTTATACTAATTAGTAGCAGAGTTGGCTCCCCGCCTGATATTCTCACGGCTAAATCAAGATTTTGAGCCCATGAAACTTCATGGTGACAGAAGGCCCTAATAAATGAAGACAATAATAGACAGCAGGCCCCTGTAATAAGGCAGCTTGAGGAATCATCTCTGAAAGCAGCCAAGCTCCAAAGATAAAAGGTGAGGACTAGAAAAGGGCATTGCCTGGGATTATAACATTTTTGTTTTTTGTTTTTTTTTTAAAGTAGTTCATGCATGTCCTTTTGTGCACTGAGCTGTAATCTGCAATGAGAAATAAGTTATTCAAAACAGGACAATTATATGTTTTTTCATAATGCATCTTTCCACTGCCAACTCCTCGAGGTCTCTCTAATAACTTCCAGTCTACATAAAAAAAAAAAAAAAAAAAGCTCCGTTTTCTGTTTTTATCTGTAGCTTTGTTAAATTTAGATCTGAAGTGAGGTTCTTCTTTACACTAAAAAGTGCCTATAAATGTACTATTCAGTTCATATGCAATAGATACTTAAGAAAATATATTTTCTCCCTTTGTCTCCTTCACCATCACTGCATGTTTGCATAGTTTGTATTTCCTCTTACCCTTGCATGCACCTCTGTGACCACATATTCCTGACGGAGAATATCCAGGTGGCCTGGTACTTGGAAACTTGTCAGATGTTATTCAAAGCAATAAAGAACACATCATACGAGTCTTTGGTATATTGTTACAGGGAAACCCTGTTTAGAATTTACTAATTGGGAATTTGTGATAATTTGAGGAAGGGCTGGCTGAAGTTAACCTTTGTACTATCTAAAGGGGAGAGAAAAAGAGTTCACTGAAGTTCTGAATAGTGTAAACAAGATTGGAAGGGGAATAATTATCTACTTAAAAGAACCAGTTGTTTTGAAAAGCTTTAGAAGTATCCTTTTACATACAAACAGGGTAATTACGATTTAAACAAAGGCTGGCCTGTTTCTAAGCCTTCTTTGAAATGTCAATTACAAATTACTCTTGTTTATTCATCAAGGCAAAACCTACCCCTGTTTACCAGGCAACAGTTGGTTAGCTTGCTTCCACCTACTCTATTTGAAAATAATAAACCTGAAGTTCTTTTAAAGCAGTATAGTTTAATTCAAGCTTTTCACTAATCTAGACGGTTGGTCCATCCTACAGTGTGGGTGAAGATTTACTGAGTACTAGCGTACAACACTCGGGAACGCCCAGAGTGACGACCGCCTTCCCTAACTTGGGGGGATAGCTGACTGATACAGAAAATCCACAAAGAAAACTACCCCAGAGCATTGGCTTTTATTTTTCATTTCACCATAGTGAGAAACACATTTTGCATGGAAACTCAGTACGCACACACTGAAACAAAAACAACACTTACACTTATTGTGTGCAGCACACTGTTATTATCTATTTATTTTTTAATGAATGCCAGTCACAGCCCTCTAAAATTGATTGCACAATCCATGAATGGGTTGCTGTTTTGAAAACACGAGGATCTGTTGAGAGACAGTATTCCATCCTGAGAGAAAGGGGCGGGTGCGGTGCAAGAGTTGTGGCTTCTCCCAGTTTTCTTGGCTCTAACCCCAAGTCCTTGGCCATCAGCCTCACTAGTCACTACTGCCTCTTGTAGTGTGCAAGCGCGTTCCTGTCCTCACCAGCCCTTTCAGCCAAGTTTCCAGTTCCTTCCTTTTCTTCAAAAGACCACCCTGAGTTTCCGCCTGAGCTATCGATGAGCTGGCCAGGCTCATCAATGGCAGATGAGGCTCTAAGGCCTCTCCACTCCATGGTAGGGGACCCCCCTACCTGCCTGAAGGGACCACAGATAGGAAGCAAGGCCAAGAATTCCATGCCTCCCCTCAAGCAAGCTACCCAAACAGGTTACAGCCTTCTACCATGAAAAGCGGAGGCTTACTTTCTCCCATGCAGCAAGGAGGGACTGAAGAAGAACTGTAAGCCAACCCTGGGGACCTCATCCTTACAGCTCATGCCAGACTCTACATGCAAGCAACTCCCGGCCACAACTAGTGTTTGCAGCCGGGGTTTCGTGAATTATCTCCCACCACACAGGTTCTGTTCCTCGCTCACTAATCCTCTTCCAACTGTGCCTGGCCATGCTTTGGCTCCTCCCTGACTCCATTGTGCCTTAGTCCATTGATTCTGTGCATTTCTCTCCTTGGCTTGGGATGTCCTCCCTGCTGTGTTTGACCCCTGTTTTGATTTAATGTATTCACAGATTCCCCTAATCTCATTATTATAGCCCTTGGTTTAACTCAATCCTGATTCCTTCTTCTACCCCCACTATCTCCTATCCCCTACTCGAATCTGTTCTGGCCCCATGGAGAAGACCAAGAAAAGTAGCTGTCTTTGCTAGACTCTTCAGATAATAACGTTTATATGACACAATTTGGTTTATACTCTAAATCCACAAGAAAAATTTCTGGGGCATGGGTCCTTACTCTGTTATTTGGAAAATAGTCATCATCTTCCTTTTCCTGGTGAGATTATGTCGCTTGGACATCACTTATGGCTGTGTGAGAGGTGGTGACTGACTTACCTCGAAATCAGGATCCTTTATCTTCAGAGAGTAATGGCGAAGATCAAGGTAATTAAGAGTCCAAGCTCTGAAGCCAGACACTGTGGGTCTAAATCTTGTCCCTGAAACTTGCTACTATATTTTCAGCTTGTTCTTTTGTGTTTTTGTTTGTTGTTTTTTTTGGGGGGGGGTTGTTTTTGTTTGTTTGTGCTATTTTGGTAAACAACAAGCATCTCAATCATATCAAGTTAGAGATTCCAGAATTATTCACTACGTCTTATATACTGGCCCCCGTCCTGCTGTCTCTGTCTCCGATTTCCCCGACACTTTCTTTTTGTATTTATTCAACTGCATTATTTATCTGTCATGTTTTCTGGCACCCTACTGGGTCATAGAGATACTAAGATGACAAATCATGGACTCTACCTTTAAAGGTGGACAAATATGTATAGGAAACAGAGAGACTTGCAAACAAATCCATTCATTAAAAATGTTAAGGATGCTGAGATAGAGAATGTTTCAAGGTACATTAGGGCATAAGGGGTGCACAGTGTGTTTCCTCTGCCTGAGGGAACAATGTGAAAGAGGGTGTCAAGGAGTAAGAGAAGTTTTCATGGAAAAGGTCGATGCTTGAGGGGACTCTTGAAGTCCTGCTTTTTGCTCATGGCCTCAGACCTGTTCCAATACTCGGGCAATCTGAACAAGACAGTCTCCACAAAAAAAGCTCAGAACACCCCATGTTCTGGATTCTAGGGACCTAGTTCCAGTGGTTGGGGCTCCCACATTGCCCCCCCAGTTCCCTTTGTTGCAATCAGCTAAGAAAGCTACTATTAGCAGCAGTAACCCCTGAGCTGCAGTAACCCCTGAGCTGAAAGTCATGGCTTGTGATCTCTCTGCCAGTGAGTCATGAAAGGCTCAGTCCATAGTATCAGGGCTGAAGTCTTTATCACTTATAATACCTAAGTCCTTCCCCAAAATTTAAGCCCTTCTTTGAACTCTAGCCCAGGACTACAGTCCCTACTGTTTATCTTGTCCTTGCCAGCCCTCTTCTCTGGGATTTGGGGCCTCCTTTCATATCCCACTATCTGCTATCTATCTGGAAAATGGTTTCCGGAATGGCCACCCATCTACAGAGGCCTACCTGAATGCCTCACTGCTCGGGGTCCCACTTAACTAAAAAGCCCAGCCCCATGTATGTCTGGATTGTGGCTAACTTTCCATAAAGACTCTCTCTGACCAAACTTTAGTCAGGCTCCTCTGAGCCCTCTCCACAACCAGATCTCAACTTTGGTGTCTGGCCCAAGTTTTAGCAAGAATCCAGCTAAGCACCTTTAGTGAGAGCTTCCCAACTCTTCATATCTGATCATATCCTCATCATCTATCTTTGATGTCTAAGTCCTTGGCTATCTTTAGCAAGAATCCTGTTAGGTCAGTTTGGCAAGAATCCTCTATCCTTGAGGTCTCCTCATAGTAATCTTCCACTCATTAACCCCTTTACCCTGTTCCTTGGCTATAAATCACCCCTTGTCCTTGCTGTATTTGGAGTTGAGCTTGATTTCCTCCCTTTTTGCAAGAGATTTGACCCCTATTACAATAGTCTTTCTCTTTTCAAGCGATGGTTGATAGATTTTCTTTTGTAGCACTTTGTGGCAGAGTTATCTTTTTAATTCTTTAATCTCATCTTTATTGAGATATAATTCCAACTTTTTTGTATAAGTTTAAGGGGTACAACATGATGATTTGATACACATATATATCGTGAAAGATTACCACAATAAGGTTATTAAGCACCTCCGTCACCTCACATGATTAACATTTTGCTGTGTGTGGTGAGAACATTTTAGATTTTCTCTTAGCAACTTTCAACTGTGGAATTGTAACGGCATTGTTAACTCGAGTCACTATGCTGTATATTAGATAACCCGAAATGTATTCACCTTACAGCTGGCAGTTTGGACACTGACCAACATCTCCTCATTTTCTCCAGCCCCAGCCCCTGGCAACCACTGTTCTATTCTGTTTGTGTGAGTTTGGCTTGCTTAGATTACACATATAAGTGTGATTATACAGTCTTTGTCTTTCTCTGTCTGACTTATTTAAAAGTATGGAGCACTTCACAAATTTGCATGGCACCCTTGCGCCAGGGCTGTGTTAATCTTTAATAGTTCCAATTTTAGTATGTGTGCTGCCAAAGTGAGCAGTACAGTTGTCTTGAATAAAGTTCTCCTTACCATATTTAACACGTGTCAAAAAATTTTTTTCTTTAACACTTGCCACGCCCTTTGGACAATAACCATGGACATCCCACGGTCCAGTGGCCCTTGGGGCCATGCTGCCTTCCCTCCTTGCTCTACTCTGAGGATTGGGTCTTTCTCCAGGCTCTCTTCCTCCTCACCAACTGTAGCTGATACATGTGCAGTGATACAGCTCAGAGAGTGTCACCTGAAAATATGGATCTGGAGAATGTGGTCCATTCCATGCCAACCAGTGTCACCTAATTCATTCAGTCAGCCAGCCAATCAAAACACACGAATAAACTTAAATGGTTTCTGAACATAAATATATTTTCAAAGAGCTTCCTTATTTGTATTATAGATATAAACAAAATACATGTATGTGAGGAATAAAATAGGTCTTCCGCTCTTTTGAATAAAAAACCGTAGTAGATGCAGATCTTTGAGGTTCTAATGGGGCCATAAACAAATTCACTGGCCTGTTTTTGGACAAAGGATTATCTGACATTTTACCTCTTCGGTTCCAAGTATGTTTTTGTTGTTAGTAGAGAGACTTCATTGTAAAAGCCTCCTCACCTAGAGATCTGGTGATTTTTTGTGTTTTATTCATCTCTTTCATTTGGCTTCAAGTAAGGTAAGGACATGATAAAATTCAAAATTTACTGCATTTTGTGCTACTGTCAGGTACACAAGTTTCCTCTTGAATATCTGCCTTCGTGAGGGTTGTTCCTGAAGTATTTTGAAGGAAATGGCGTGTCAACCATTCATTGGTTCTCATGGCTTTGCAGTGGAGGCAAGGCCTTTCCCTGACTTGGTAACTTCCCACATTCCTTTGCCTCTGAGCTGTTTTCCTCTTCTTAATACTAGCTGGTGATGGGTGATGTTCGCTTTCACTCTCCTTCCACGAGGAGGCTCCGGAGTTAGATTCTTCACTGTCACACTCAGTACTATCACTATCCTGTTGGGTCTGAGTCATCTGGCTGAATTGAGAATGGCGCCTGGCCCGTCTTTGTTCAAGATACGCATTGACCAAAGCCACTTCTGAGTCAGTTACAGGGGTGAATTGGCTCTGCTTTGGTTTTTTCATAATTTGTAAAGAGTCCCAGTCACCACCTTTGCTTTGCCGCTTGAAGGAACTATCTTTGCTTGCTAACAACCAATGAAACAAATCAGTATGTTAGACATATTATTGGTTACTATAACTTCATCTTACCTAAGGAAGCTTATAGTGTGTGTACACTCACTCTCAGTTGCATTTGCCAAGTCATCACTTTTCTCCACTTACTTGGAAGTGTTGGTGGCTAACTGCATCTTCCAGTACCACACCAAATCTCCTAAAGACCAGAAGGGTCAAACAGATGCTTGACACACTGCTTTTGAAGTTTTGTGGGCCCCAGATATAAGATCAAGGGAAAGGTCTCCAAGCTTTTCCAGAGAAGGACCCTTTCTAACCTTGCCTTGAAGTCTTAAAGTTTCAAGTATGTATGTGACCGTGATCTGGGTAGCAGGAAACTCAAAAGGATCTTTTCTTTATGCAGTGGTGTGCTGGAGTTGTCTTCTACCAGCTGGCTGGCAAGAATGGATTGTGAAACTTTAAGGAGTTTAATAAGATGGTTGTTAAAACACAGCCATTAGTAAAAATTAAATTATACAAACTCACCACTAAATCAATTTATGATACATAAATGTAATAAATATTCAAAACTAATCACTTCCTAATTATTTTATTACATTTTATTATGAGGTATGCTCTTAAAGCTATTTCTGTCGTATCTGGTTGGAAATACTATGTGATGATGTGCTTCTCTGCATGTCTTCCCAACTCCACATTCAGTAACATCACATTGGTAATTTGAAATCAGTTTTGCTGGGTGGGATAAAAATCAACAAGCACTAAAAATCAGGTCTTGGTTTATGGTTTTGTGGGTTGTCTAGGCTTAAAGTGATACGGAACATGTTATTAACGTAGATCACATTTGAAAGTGTCATGGACAAGGCACCTGAGTGGCTCTTGACTTCAGCTCAGGTCATGATCTCTGGTTCATGAGTTCAAGCCCTACATTGGGGTCCTCACTGATAGTGCAGGGCCTGCTTGGGATTCTCTCTCTCTTTTCTCTGTCTCTCACTCTCTCTCTCAAAATAAATAAATAAACTTAAAAAAATACAAAATAAAAATATCACAGGGTGCATGGGTGGCTCATTGGTTGAGTGTCTGACTCCTAGTTTCGGCTCAGGCCATGATCTCATGGGTCATGGGATTGAGCACCGTGTTGGGCTCTGCATTGGGCATGGAGCCTGCTTGGGGTTCTCTCTCTCCCTCTCTCTCTCTCTCTGTCCCTCTCCTGCTCACACATATGTGCTCTCGCTCTCAAAATAAATAAATAAACTTAAAAAAATACAAATTAAAGTGTCATGGGGCATCTGGGTGGCTTATCGGCTGAGTGTCTGACTCTTGGTTTTGATAATGTCTAATCATCATTGACCATGGGATTGAGTCCCATGTTGGGCTCTGCATGGGGCATGGAGCTTGGGGTTCTGTCTCTGTCCCTCTCCCACTCACACGTGTGTGTGTGTGTGTGTGTGTGTGTGTGTGTGTGTGTTCTCTCTTAAAATAAATAAACTTTAAAAAAAGGTGTCATCCTGTAGCCACCACATTGTGAATAGCACCTGAAAACAAATACTCTTCCAGGGTATTCTAACACTATTATCCAATTCAGCAAAGAAGTCACATCATTGACAACCAAGTTAAGTTCTAACATACAGCTTCCTGTTTCTTTAATCTTACTCCTTAACCTAAAGGAAAAGAGCATTCATATTGGAACTATACTTGTTTGTCCATTGCAGCCACAGGTTGGCCAAGGGTGCAAGCTCCTGGCAAAAATCAAGGAAAGTATTTTGCTAGAACTGGTGATCTATATGGAATTTGACATAAAGTGTGTTACCTATTTTATTACTTGTAAATTGTGTGACCTACGTCCTTTCTATCAGCCACATTAAAAAAAAAAAATGTATATACACATACACATTTTTTGAGAGCTGGTTGTTAAAACATTTACCAGCACACCGCTGCTTCTAGGTTATTAAAAAAGATGTCATATAAAGCTCACACTAACAATAAAGGTATGTGAAAGGGGAACTATATGAAGGGAGAAGGCTGAGGAATGCAAAGAGAACTTGAACTCTACCTACCAGTAATTTATAGCCTCTAGCAGCTCTGCTAAAGCAGGTAAACTGTCCTGCGCTAAAGCCAGGAGCTCACATAAGGGGCCACCACAGATCTGGAGAGGTCTTATAACCATTCTGGGCTGTTTGTTTCCAAACTTCACTTTCCACATTCAGCACATATTTCTCTCCTCACAGTCCAATAACAAATATGCACCAGCACTCACCTTTACTGACCGAGGTGCTGGCCCCACTGTCCTCATCCCTTTTCTTCTCTGACATCTGTTTCGGAAATACAGATTAGTAATAGCAATCTCGGTTGGTTTTCACTTACATTTCCTTATAAAACACCATTGCCCTAGACTCTTGGATAATGTCTAATCGTAAACACTCAGTACCATTCAATAAATTCCTATTGAGTTACTATTACAGTGATCTTACTTCTGCTGCCCATGGAAGACCAGGCTTTGATGCAGAATCTGCCAACATGTTTTGAACAAACTAAATGGAACAAAGATTTGAGAGAAAATAATACTGATGAGGATCTATAGGTTATCAAGTTTTCCTGTATTCACATTGTAAAGAAATATCATTTAATATCTTTTTTTTTTAGAGAGAGAGATAGACAGACAGACAGAAAGAGCATGAGCAGGGGAGAAGTGCAGGGACAGAGGGAGGGAGAGAGAATCTCAAACAGGCTCCACGCTCAGTGTTGATCCAAAAACCTGGAATCATGACCCAAGCCAAAATCAGGAGTCGGATACTCAACTGACTGATCCACTGCTGGTGCTCCTAAAACTCATTTAAAAACAGATTTTATAGTACTGGGATTCATTTTAAATTACTTAAAAAAAGTTTTTTAATGTTTGTTTAGTTTTGAGAGAGAGAGACAGTGTGAGCAGGGAAGAGGCAAAGAGAGAGAGGGAGACACAGAATCTAAAGCAGGCTCCAGGCTCTGAGCTGGCAGCACAGCTCAAACTTGCAAATAGCGAGATCATAACCTGAGCCGAAGTCGGACGCTTAACAGAGTAAGCCACCCAGGCACCCCTTAAATTACTTTGTAAAGGATATTTCATCAGATCTTTTTTTTTTATAATGCTTGAAGATCTTTACCAAAGTTCATAAATTCAGTATCTCCTAAATCCTTCAGAAACTTTCCTCCAGAATGCAACCATAACATACTATCTGTGAATTTGGCAACAAAAAAGAAATGGACTTCTTTGAACAGTTCCAATTTCAAATATTCTACTCCAATATTCCATAAATAAATTTATTCCATTGTTCAGATCAGTGCTCCATTTTTTGATGCTGAACATGATTTTGCCAAAAGATATAAATATAAAGCAACTCTTTCAGAATGTATAAAAAATTTTAGAAACACTGGTAACACTTTTGACACATAATATTCTCACTGGGAATCTAATAATCCAGGAAATAATCCCCCAAAGACAGAAAACTTTATGCACAAAAATAATCAGAGTGTAATTAGGATAATAAAAAATTCAAAATTCAAAAGGAGGCAATGGTTACATAAACTATAGTACAATAATACAATTATAATATATAGTTGTAAAAATTATTATAATAAAGGCATATCGCAACATAAGAAAATGCACATTGTAATATTAAGTTAAAAATCATGTTAAAAATTATGTTAAAAGTCAAGAGGCAAATCTGTATATGCAATACGATCACCAGTTCGCTAAAAATATGAAAAAAGACTAAGCGATGTCCACAAGTGTTAGCAACTGTTGAGTTTGAATGAAACAGGGTTAGTTTTCCTTGTAACTTTTTAAGTTGTCTACAATTAGGGAAAAAATGAATTTTGTCGAAAGTCAAACTTCCTTTGGGTAGAAAGTGACAAACTTGGGTCTTCGTAACTACAATCCAGGACCCTTGGCCCATTCCTTTCTTAATATCTGATCTCTGCAATAGCAGTCAAGTATCTTTAACCAGGTGCCTCTCCGCTTTTTGGGTTACTGCAACCAGTCTCTGAAAATGTTAAGAATGGAATCTTCTTTTAAGAAACCACTCTTTTGAACAAACTGAGGGTTGCCGGCTGAGTGTTGGGTGGGGGGATGGGCTAAATGAGCAATGGGCTCTAAGGTGGGCACTTCTAGGGATGAGCACTGGGGGTTACATATATGTAAGTGATGAATTACTAAATTCTCTTCCTGAAATCATTATTACACTACATGTTAACTAACTTGGATTTAAATTTATATATATAAAGGAGACCACTCTTTTAAAAATGGTTGGGGGAGGGGGGCGCCTGGATGGCTTAGTCGGTTAAGCATCCGACTTTCGCTTAGGTCATGATCTCGCGGTTCCTGGGTTCGGGCCCTGCGTCGGGCTCTGTGCTGACTGCCAGCTCAGAGCCTGGAGCCTGTTTCAGTCTGTGACTCCCTCTCTCTCTGACCCTCCCCTGCTCACGCTGTCTCTCTCTCTCTCCTAGAAATAATAAAAAAAAAAAATCCATTAAAAAAATAAAATAAAAAATAAAAATGGTTGGGGGGCTTATTTTAAATTGAATATGTATAGAGGTAATTATTAAATGATTAGCTGTTTATAAAACCTAAATGTTAATAGTAGTTGGTTATTTCCACATAATCTGGAGTGGTTTTTATTTCATTTCTTGCACTTTCCTATAATTTCCACATTTTCTATAATGCATACTTTCGTAATGGAAGGGGAGGGAGGAATGTTTAAAAACATTTATTAGGCTAGGGGTGCCTTGGTGGCTCGGTCGGTTAAGCATCCAACTTCAGCTCAGGTCATGCTCTTACGGGTCATGGGTTCGAGCCCCATGTCGGGCTCTGTGCTGACAGTTAGCTCAGAGCCTGGAGCCTGTTTCAGATTCTGTGTCTCCCTCTCTCTCTGACCCTCTCCTGTTCATGCTGTCTCTCTCTCTCTCTCCCAGAAATAAAACATTAAAAAAACAACAACAAAAAAACACATTTACTAGGCTTATATCATTTTCACGGAAAGCTTCTATATTTGACTTGATGTCACATCAAAATATAATCACAAAATCCTAAAGAAAGATTTTTCATCAAGCTAAGTGGAATCATATGAACTGTGGTTACCCAAAGCATTTTATTAACTATCTGTGTATGAGTCCGTGAGTAAGAACAGCAGCAGAGCCCGCTGAGGAATAGGGTAGAATAGTGGAGAGATCTGGGCTATGGCTCTGTCTTTCTACCAAGGGAAACCTGCAATTTCCCCAATTCACTTAACACCTCCTAAGCTCAGTTTCCATATATGCAAAATGAGAAGCCTGGACTGGTATTGCTTGGAAAAATACCAGCACTAGCAGTCTGAATAAACACTAAACAAATGCGTAAACTAAATATAGTATTTCTAGTCTCCAAAAGCAAAAAGGTAAATGCAACCTGAAGAGTGGCAAATCCAGAGGAAATCCCTGTGCTTCACCTCGGAGGATAACTACCACCACATTTCCATCACGCTTTCACCATGACTTCAAGGTTTGTAAATAAAGGCTCATAGTTCAGCAGAGAAAATGAAGTTCAAAGTGAAAGAAAAATTCCATCCTTCTTAACTAGCTCTCATATGGTTCTCAGATTTCAAATCTGGGACCCTTCAAAGAAGCAGTTCAGCCAATTGTAACTGCCATAAGGGTACAAAATGAAAGACGAAACCTCTGAGATAATTAAGGTTTTAATCAGCACTGAATAGATTGAATTCAACATTTCAGCTATGCTTTGAAGCAAACGAATTATATGGCAGGAAACCTTGGTCTATTTCTCCTCTGTCACTAACCACTTGTGTGATATTGGACAAGTCACTTGATTTCCTTGGGGCTTATCAATTAAAAAAAAAAAAAAAAAGGAGGGATACTGATATCTTACTTGCCTATAGAAAGGTCCAGAGACTGGACCACATGCTCTCTTCAGGTCCATAAAGCTCAGAGCTCTAGGACTCCAAAGAGCTGATGCAAGCAAAGGAGCAGAAGAATAGCTTAGACCTTATAAGTGGTCTTCATGATGAAATTGCCAGGAATCAATTTCAATTTTTTGTTAATTTTCTAAAGTATCTTTTCTGGCCAATCCAGACAAATTCAATATACTTAGCTAGGGAGTCTAGGACACATATAAGCGATCACTATTCTAAATCTCCTTTTGGCAAAGTATCTACTTGAAGAAGCATTTAAACTTTAGATGAAACTTCTTAGGGGGAAGAGGTGGTGAGGGAAGAGTCTCTGATTATTATAATGGAATCCAGCTGGCATAGAGATAACAACCCTCCTCCTCTCCTCCTACAGCTGATGCAGCACTCAGTCTGCCCATTGCCAGCCCGGTGTTCTGACCGTAATGCCAAATGATGGTGGTTTGATTAATCATCAGCTTGTATTAATGGCCAGCAAGGACTCCATGTCAGCAATTTATAAGAGCTCGGTTACTCATAACATGTTGGAGATTCCCAGTCCTGAAAAATTGGGCTACCTCTTTCCTAAGAGGATGGTATTTTCTTCTGCTAGTAGGTGGTCTAGAATGGTGAGTTTCATTCTGTTTAATTTAGTTTAGTTCTGCATCTTATCTTTCGGGAGAGTATATTGCCTCATTCTAAAAACTCCCAAATCCTACAACACGTATTCTATAAATACGACAGCTTTTGTGTCTTTGATTAGAATTACGTGGCTATGAAAGGAATTTGGAGGTCATTAACCAGTAGGCAAGTTTATCCCAGCATTACATAGCCTATGGACAAACTGCAAACAACCTAAATATCTCAGAATTGCGGATTTGGTATGCTGTAACCACAAGACAAAGTTATGCAGTCATTAAGAGTGCTGCTGTATGAACATGATTTGAGGAAGTGTTCCAATATAATATTAAATTTTTAAAAAGCAGGATATGAAACTATGCACAGTCCAATGCCAACAATGTAAGGTCAAGGAGAGATGGAGAGAAATACATCGAGATAGAGAAAAATAAAAAAAAAACTAGAATATGCTCCAAAATGGTAACAATGGTTATCTCTAAAGAATAGGATTACATTAGCTTACATTTTCTTCTTCACCCTTTTCTATATTCTTAGATGCTCTAGAACGAGATGGCGTTATTTTTAAAATAACTTTTAAAAAGTAGTTTCATCGAAGTAAAGTGAATTTATTTTGTGGAAAATCCCCTATTATTATAGCATTTAAAATGAAATAGGATATCCTACCCAGATAGAAGTCCGCGAGAAGAACATCAGGACCAATAGAATGACAAAGTACCAAAGCAGGAAGCTCCCTATTGCCCCACAAGAGTCATCCTTCTGGCATTCATAATCCTGATTTGGGAGAGTAAAACTTAAAGGTAGAGGGGGAGGATCCACCTCCCAAAATAAGGATAAAAGGTCTCCCATGATGGCTTCTTGCTCTGGAAATAAAGCATGCTCAAAGGAATGAAGATGACTGGCAAGTACTTCACTCCATGCGTATGACCGTTTCCTTAGCAACCTATTATGACACACGCCTCAGTAACTGTGACAGGCACTGACAAACCCTCCCTGGATTTCTAAAGTTTTTGGAAGATTTCCCTAAATTATTTCTATGAAAGTTTATGGTATTTACCCCCTACGTCAATAGGGTGCGTTCTGCCTTAATCTTTTTTTTATTTTCCTGAAATTTGTATATACTGTATTTTCTTTAAATTCTAATGCCTATAAAATCTACATCTCTGAGGTATCCATTCATTTCTTCAGTCTTTTATATGTTTCATATCACATACCATATGTAAATTAACATACATAGGTCTAATTTGTTATAGACTGAATTGTGTTCCCCTGAACTCGTAAGTTGAATGAATAACCTCCAATTTGACTATAACCACAAAGAAGGCCTTTAGAGAGACAATTAAGGTGAGGGGCATCTGGGTGGCTCCGTGGGTTGAGCGTCGGACTCTTTTTATTTTTTTTTATGTTTATTTATTTGTGAGAGAGAAAGAGAGCACAAGCAGGGTAGGGGCAGAGAGAGAGAGAGGGAGACACAAAATCCAAAGCAGGCTCCAGGCTGAGAGCCTGAAGCAGGGCTTGAACTCACAAGCTATGAGATCATGACCTGAGCTGAAGTAGGAAGCCCTATCTACTGAGTCACCCAGGAGCTCCACTGAGTTGGAGCCCCACATAGGGCTTTGCACTCACGGTGTAGAGCCTGCTTCTCTCTCCCTCTCTCTGCCCCTCCCCTGCTCAAGAATAAATAAAAATTTTAAAAAGATAATTATGATTAAGTGAGGTCATAAAGATAGACCTTTGTGTCCTTATAAGAGGAAGAGACACCCCCCAGGGGTATGTGGACACAGAAAAAAATGGCCCTGTGAGTACATAGAAATCAGCAAGCCAGGGAAAGAGGCCTCAGGAGAAACCAATTCCGCTGGTGTCTTCATCTTGGACTTGCAACCTGAAAAACTGTGGACAAATTAATTTTTGTGGTTTAAGCCACTCCAGTTACTTTTTGCGGTAACCCTATCAAACTAATACATAATGCCAGCTATATATATATCAAAGTTGGATAGTAGTAGTGTTCCTTTTTAAGCCTTCAACAAATGCACAGTAACTTAAGGACCTCAAGAGAGGAAAGATGTGTCTGTTGAAATGACATCAAATGTATACAATTTTTTAGGAAAGAGAGATGGGGTGGGGAGGAACCTGGTATACTATTGACTCTACATTGAGCCCTTTCACTCTGAACAATTTTTGAGTTAGTTCGTCTCAATCTAAAACTAGAGCAAAACACTACTGCTGCTAAGGCAGTCTAAAATTTATTAAAATCGCAGTTTAAAATACGTTAGATCTTTAAGAGCATAGCATACCTGCAGATTCCATTAATTTGCAATAAATAAATACCAATTCTTATTTATTAAGGAAACTTAATTTTCTTCTATTTGACTTTTGGTGCATTTTAGGAAACATTTTGGTCATTGAGACGTACATGATGTAACAATCCGCTAGCTTATTGTGAAAAGGCGTTTTCATTAGGGTAACATTTCTCCACATCCCCAATGGTGCCCTGTTCTTCCTGGCTGCTGGCCCTGTGCTTTAGGCCAGCATCGCCTCTTCCAGGAAGCTCGCCTCTGGGCTCATCGCGCCCCACTCTCCTGCCCACCTAGGGCACCAGCTGGCTGAGCTCCACCAGACACCAACAAGGGAGCTCCACTCTTACATTCCTACGCGCCCCTCAGCGGCACATTGTAGGCGTTTGTATTTGTTCAATAAAACCAAACTGAACTCCCTGATGGACCTTTTCCTCAGGCTTAGTTCTTCCGAAGAATATGCAAGAAAAGGAACGACTGGATTTTTTGAAACCTCAAAACCACTAGCAACTTTGACACGTTTGGGGTTTTCTTCTCACTGCTGCACCCTTATTACAAGAATATTTAAGAATTTCCATTGGGTCAGAACGTTTTTTTGTGTGAGAAATGCTTTGACGAGGCTGATGGGTATCCGGACACATTACCACATTCTCTAGCCTACAATTAGCTACCCTGCTTTAATAAAATCTGCTTTAAAATGTGAGTCCGTAAACGCCCTAAGAAAGCTAAAATTATATTAATACATAGAAACTCAGCTTGTTACAGTTACTACTTTTTACTGCGAGTTCACAACTTGGTCTGAATTTCCCCCCGCAGCTGAGTAGGAGCCACAAACCCAAACGTTGTTTCCCTGGTAACGCTCCTACCCCTGAGTACTCCCAGCCGCCCGCCTCACCCTCCTCATCTCGCGAGAAGGTCCGTTCTTCCGGTAACTAGTCCGGCAAACTGGTTGCCTTCGCCTTAGCGCTTGGCTTCGCGCATGTGCAGTAAAGGGTGGCGCGAGCCAGCAGCTTCCGGCCGAAGAACATGGTGGGTTTTCGGGGTCATTTTTGTGCTTGCAGGACGCGGAGTCCACGCGTGCCGTGGGGTTTCCACGACTGCTGATCTGCAGAGGGTTCCTCCGAAGGGGGCTGTGGCCAGGCGTCCCTCCACCTGTAGTGAAAAGGAAGGAAGAAGCGTTAGGGGCTGCTGAAGTGTGTGCTGAGAGACCCAGGGAGGGAAGCTCTCGGGACTGGGAAGTTTTGACTCGCGGACTGGGTGGCGGGAAGAGTGCCGCTCTGTACTTTTTGGGATACGACTCCAGATGCGGAAGTCTTAAAATGTTTTTCTGCAGGAGATGAGGCTTAGCGAAACAAAGGAAATATAAATCCCACATGGACCCAAACTGCACACTCCCCAGTGGCTCTCATCCCCTTCACATTAGGAGTGTTCACCCTTAGAAAACCTCAATCCTTACACTTTATCAGCAACACAAAACGGGGGTCTCTGGCGCCCAGCGGTCCGAGTGTAGAGTTGGTTAGGATCGTAGGCGGGTAATGGCTTCTGCGTGAAGATGTAAGAGGAGGGTCTTTAATGGCTTATAGCTAATATGGAATATTTTCTCTCAACGCTTGGTATTTTGAGTTGTTTAAATTAGCCAGACTTTGTGACCTTCCGAACACAATACGGAATAATTGCACGTAAAATCACCACCCTTTAAATTACAAAATAAGGCATTTTTATTCATTGAAGCTGTTCTGTGAAGCGATGAGCAGGTTCTCTATTGATAACAATGTGCCAATAAAGTTATAATTTAGGGCTCCCTTTTCACACGATAATCATGAAATAAAAAGTATTGGAAAGCTATTTTAAAGATAAGGAAAGACATGTGCAGTTCTTAGTTACTATTATAAAGGACCCAAGTTGGATTTCGTAAATGGAGAAGTGGTTTCTTTTCGTTAATTCCTGTGCTTTTTGTTTTTGGATAGATGCAAGGGGAGGCAAGTCCTAGTGCTTCTCTTATTGACAGAACCATCAAGATGAGAAAAGAAACGGAAGCTAAGAAAGTGGTTTTAGCCTGGGGCCTCCTAAATGTATCTATGGCTGGAATGATCTATACTGAAATGTAAGTTACTTAGTCAAAAAAGATGAAACTTGAAGAGGACAGTGGTTGGTTCTACAGGTTTTTGTGTTTGTTTTGATTTTAGGTGTTTTCTGTTGTTTGTTAAGATTTTGAAAAGCCTTTTTAATTTTTTCAGGACTGGAAAATTGATTAGTTCATATTATAATGTGACATACTGGCCCCTTTGGTATATTGGTAAGTAATTAATTTTTTTACTGTCATATAGGTTTGCTACCAATGAAAAACTGCATTCATGTTTAATTCAGCTTTGTAATCATTCCTTCATTGCGTAAATATTTGAGTGTGTGCTGTGTTCCAAAAACTGGGAATCTTGCAGGAAGGGAACAAGAAAGATTCTTACCCTCATGGAAGGAACATTCTAGTAGAGGAGACAAATTAAACAGTACAATTCCAGGTGATCATTGGAGTTCTGTGATGAAAAATAACGTTTGGTGATGGTGATTTGTATTTATTTTCTCTGAAATGCCTTCCCTACTTCCCTACCATTTCTCCTTTCAAGAACAATCAGATTTCCATTCCATTGATGCCTTCCTCAGTTTCCTTGTTCCTTCCTCTTCTCTCGTCTACTTCTCTCTGCTGTTTAGTAGTCCTTGAGTATAGAGTCTTTATGGCCATTAAAGTGAATTCCATAGTCCAATACACACAATGTGGAATCCGTGGTAGGGACGTGGTGTGGCAAGTGAATGAGCAAGAGTTTGGGAAGCACCCTGGTGGCATTGTAGGTTAAGCGTCCGACTTTGCCTCAGGTCATGATCTTACAGTTTGCGGGTTCAAACCCCGCGTCGTACTCTCTGCAGACAGCTCAGAGCCTGGAGCCTGCTTCAGATTCTGTGTCTCCCTCTCTCTCTGCCCCTCCCCTGCTCGTGCTCTTTCTCTCTCTGTCTCTCAAAAAATAAATAAACATTAAAAAAAATTTAGTAAGCACAAGTTTTGAAATCTGCATACCTGAGTATATAAGTAACTAGCTGTGTGCTCTTGCAAAAGTCACTTGACTACTCTAGTCAGATACAGGTGAAAATCTTTATTGTACAAGGTTGTGAGGTTAGTGATTTTTTTTTCTACACCCAACGTGGGGCTCAGACTCAGAACCCCCAGATTGTGTTGCATGCTCCATCAACTGAGCCAGCCAGGTGGCTGATAATATTTTGAAATTCACTAGTAAGTTCCCTATAATAGGCATTTATGTAATAGACATTATACATAATAGACATTCATTAAATGGCAACTGTTATGAGGACTAAGAAGATAGTTTTCAGTTTTGTTGTTAATTTGCTAAAGTATGAAGGGTTTTGTTTCCCACCCACCTTTAAATGTTCTCCCACCCTCCCCCTTAAAAAAGTAAATTGTTCTCTTCCAGAGCTTGCCCTTGCATCCCTCTTCAGCCTGAATGCCTTATTTGATTTTTGGAGGTATTTCAAATACACTGTGGCACCAACAAGTCTGGTTGTTAGTCCTGGACAGCAAACACTTTTAGGGTTGAAAACAGCTGGTAAGTGTTTTATGTCTTTTGCAAAGGTGGGGGAAAGGTTGGCAATAAATCTTTCTCAATTTAATTTGCCCTTTTTATAGACTCAGCTGGAAGGGACTTCTAAAGCCATCTGGTTGAACTATATTAAACAAGTCTGTAATAAATTGCCTTAAGACCAATGATTATCATTCCTATTTGTATAAACTGAATGGAAATACTATTCAACAGCCTCGTGAAAGTTTGTTCCATTGTTTAATTACAATTAAAATTAAATGACTAACCCTTGGGGATTGAAGCTAATCTCTTACTTTAAACTGTATGGAAATGGTAAAGCACTACTTTGTGTCCTTAGGTGATAATACATTATGTAATTTAACAACCAAGTCACTCTATTACTTTCTCCTTTCTTGAAAAAAAAAGATTCATTTTTCATTGTCTATTTTTATAGAAATTTTATTTAAACATGCACACACACATTATTTATTTACTATTTATTTATTTATTTATTTATTCTTTCCTTCCTTCCTTCCTTCCTTCTAGTTGTACAGACTACTCCTCCACATGATCTGGCAGCAACCCAAATCCCTCCCTCTCCATCTTCTCCTTCAATTCAGGGTCAGAGTGTGTTGAGCTATAGCCCATCTCGTTCACCCAGTACCAGCCCCAAGTTCACCACCAGCTGTATAACCGGATACAGCCCTCAGCTGCAAGGTCTGTCATCAGGTGGCAGCGGGTCCTATAGTCCCGGAGTGACTTACTCTCCCATCAGTGGTTATAATAAGGTAATGAATCTTTTCTCCTGGCCAGTCACATTATTTTACAATTGGGAGCTACCTTGAAAGTCACCAAATGAATCAAAACTCCTCATTTTCTCACTGACAGGACTGAGAAACAGTGGGTAATTGACTTGCCCAAGTTGCCGATATAAGAGCCAAGAACAGAACCCAGATCCTGATACCTAGTCAGAAGTTCCTTATACCATACCCTAAAATGAAAGAAAAAAATTAGCTTTTGCAAAGACCATGGACTGAGGGTCACCATTCTAGGATCTTTCTGCAGGGTCTTTCAAACAAATTGAGACTGTGATAATTTTTTACTTTAGGTTTTTAGATTCACGTTTGCCCTCTTTCTTTGCTTGTTTATATGAAACTTTTGTATATCCTTACAGAATCTTAATGTTTTTTTTCATGTTGGAGTTATCTCCTAAGCTAAAAACTGGGAGTGTTGTGTAGTTTGACTCTTCATGATGGCCACCACCCTTCATGGGATGACTAGAAACCTTCTTTCCAACTCCCCCAGTAAAGTGGGATGTTGTTCTCATTTTGGGGTTTGATAGAAGCAAAATTGACAAATTTGAAATCGTGACTCCTCCCTGAAGCATAAGAATATAAAAGGAGTGTTAAAGGGGGCATGATCACATTTTCAGAAGATCTCACTAGTTAGAACTACTCTCTGTAGCTGCTAGCTAGATGAGGGATGTCCGGAAGTGATATCAACACACTGCCCTTACCCATTACATAATACTTCTTTGTGATGAACTTCCATACTACTGGTTCCCCAATAATAATTTTGGCAAGTAATAAAAGGTAGGAAATTTTGTACAAGTTAAATATTAGGAAGTGTGTATGTAGCAATATTTAATAACCCATAGGTAAATATGACTTGTAAAAATAGTTTTTGTTTTCATGAGGAAAAAAATCATAGTTCTACCACCCAAACATAATTTCTGTTTAATGGCTACTTAATACTCATCTAGTGGAAATACCATAGTTTACTCTTGAATATGCAAGTTATTTTTATTTCTTAAAAACTGTTAATCTCGGGGCGCCTGGGTGGCTTAGTCGGTTAAGCGTCCGACTTTCGCTTGGGTCATGATCTCGCGGTTCGTGGGTTCGAGCCCCGCGTCGGGCTCTGTGCTGACTGCCAGCTCGGAGCCTGAAGCCTGTTTCAGTCTGTGACTCCCTCTCTCTCTGACCCTCCCCTGCTCACGCTGTCTCTCTCTCTCTCCTAGAAATAAATTAAAAAAAAAAAAATTAAAAAAAAAAAAAAACTGTTAATCTCTACTAAATAGCTCTGTGTATAAAATTGGTAACATTAATTATCTTTTTTTTCTCCTGGACTATAACCTTCTTGAGTACAGGATTGTGTGTTTTTATTCATGTTTGTTTTCTTAGCACAGTACATGAAATATAGATGCTATACATACATATTTGTTGAACTAAGTTAATACAGTGGAAAAGTTAATGAAATAGAATCATTATTTTTCTAGGGAAAAAAAAAAACGCCAAGATTGACTAAGAAGTAGAAAACTTAAGTAAAAAAAAGAAGAAAAAGTTTAAACTGTAATCAAATATATCTGCAGAATATGTTAGGGTTCTGAAGTTTTGTCACTGAGTTATTTTAAATTTTCAAGAAACTTTTAAACTTCTGATAATGGAAATGTTCAAATGTAGATGAAAATGAAGGGACTGGTACAATGCATTTCTAGAGTCAGAATATAGAGAAGGGGGCATCTGGGTGGCTCAAGTCAGTTAAGTGTCCACCTCGTGATTTCAGCTTGAATCATGATCCCAGGGTTGTGGGATAGGGTCGGGGTCCGTGCTGAGCATGAAATCGGCTTGGGATTCTCTCTCTTTCCCTCTGCCCCTCTCCCTGTTTGTGCTCTCTATCTCAAATTTAAAAAAAAATTTTTTTTTAAAGAAAAAAAATAATAAGAGAAAGCAGGGCACCTGGGTAGCTCAGTCAGTTAAGTATCCAAATCTTGATTTTGGTTCAGGTCATGATCTCATGGTTATGAGATTGAGCCCTATGGGCTCTGTACTGGTCATGGAGCCTGCGTAAGATTCTCTTTCTCCCTCTTCTTTCTCCCTTCCCCCCCCCCCATTGCTCACACACTCTCTCTGTTTCTCTCTCAAAAAAAGAGAAAGAAATCAATGTGGAAGAGGATTAAATTTTTCTTTTTTTTTTTTCCAACTTTATTTTGCCACTGTACTGGAGTAAATAGTTGATAATATAGATAATACCAGTGACCAATAATTGTATTCTTTTAAGTTTTATTTATTTAAGTAGTCTCTACACCAAATGTGGGGCTTGAACTCACAACCCTGAGATCAAAACTTGGATGCTCTTCTGACTGAGGCAGCCCCATGCCCCCCTATTTTTAAAGTGTTTAACTTCACAAGTATAAGGAAACGGAAGTTAAATGTAAATTTTAAAAAATTCTTCTGTATTCAATAAGCATTTTAAAATCGTAAAATGGAGGTACCTATCAACTTTCTTCTGAACAGGATTAGTACAGCATTTTCATTTAATAGATGGGGAATATGTATTAAATGTTCATATGCTTTGATCAGATCATTTCAGTACTAAGAAGCTCCTGAAGGACATTCTCAGAAATTAAGAAAAGATTTATGTAGGGGCGCCTGACTGGCTCAGTTGGTTGAGCGTGTAAGTCTTGATCTCAGAGTCATGAGCTCAAGACCCACATTGGGTGTGGAACCTACTTAAAAAAAAAGAAAAGAAAAGATATATGTACAGAGATGTTAACGTTTACAGTGGCCAAAAATTGTAGACATCTCAAATGTATTGAATGTAAAAATAAATGATGGTATATATGTATAATGAAATATTATACAGCTAGTAAGAATAATATTATAAAGAATTTTTATGGGAAAATCCTTGGTTAACTTTAAAAAAACAATGAAGTTGAGCGGCACCTGGGTGGCTCAGTCGGTTAAGCATCTGACTGTTGATTTGGGCTCAGGTCATGATCTCACAGTTTGTGAGTTCAAGCCCTGCATGGGACTCTGCACTAACAGTGCAGAGGTCACTTGGGATTCTCTCTCTGCCTCTTCCCTGCTTATGTGTGCACACATGCATGTGTGCTCATTCTCTCTCTCAAGTAGAAAAAAAATTAAAATTGAAGTTTAAAAAACAATTGTTTTTGTTTAAAAAAACGAAAATATGTAAAAACAAAAATATATTGATATAGCTATGTACAATTAAAGATTTGAAAATACAGAAAATGTGAAAAGGGATTATATTATCTCTAGGTTGTAGTTTAAGTATGACTGATTTTCTTCAAACTTCCCATTTTTTAAAACATGCACATAGTGCTTTTTTTTAAAAAAAAAAAATAGACTTTATATTTTAGAACAGTTTTAGGTTTGGGCACCCAGGTGGCTCGGTCAGTTGAGTGACTAACTTTTGATTTCAGCTTGGGTCATAACCCAAAGGTTGTGTGATCAAGCCCCGTCTTGGGGCTCCGCCCTGAATGTGGAACCTGCTTGGGATTCTCTCTCTCCTTCTGCCTCTCTCCCCACTTCTTGCCCTCTCTCTCTCTCTTAAAAAACAAAACAGAATAGTTTTAGTTTCACAGCAAAACTGAGCGGAAGGTACAGAGACCTGTCCTATACTTTTTGCCCACCCCCCCCCCCCCCCCGCACCACCACCATGGGCACAGCCTTCCCAATATCAAAATCCCCCACCAGAGTGGTACGTGTGTTCCAGTTGATGAACCTATATTGGTATGTCATTATCACAGTTTACTCTAGGGTTCATTCTTGGCGGTGTACATTATGCAGGTTTAGACAAATATGTAATTCTGTGTATCCACCATTATGGTATGGTATCATACAGGGCCATTTCATTGCCCTAAAAATCCTCTTTGCTCCACCTATTCATCCTCTCCCACTCCTGACCCCAATCCCTGGCAACTACTGATCCTTTTACTTTTTCCATAGTTTTGCCTTTTCCAGAATATCATATAATTGAAATCATACAGTGTAGCATTTTCACATTGGCTTCTAATTTTAGTCAGTCATGTGCATTTAAGGTTCCTTCATGTCTTTTCATGGCTTGAGAGCTCATTTCTTTTTAATGCTGAGTAATAAATATTCCATTGTGCAGATGTACCACCCATTCACCTACTAAAGGATGTCTTAGTCGCTTCTGAGTTTTGGCATTTATGGAATAAAGCTGCTGTAAATATCTGTAGGCAGGTTTTTGTATAGTCCTAAGTTTTCAACTCCTTTTGGGTAAATCCCAAGGAGCACAGTTGCTAATCATATGGTGAGTGTAGTTTAGTTTAGTAAGAAACTGCCAAACTGTCGTCCAAAGTGGCTGTACCATTTTGCATCCCTGCCAGGAGTGAACGAGAGACCTATTACTCCACATCCTTACCAACTTTTGATGTTGTCATTGTTCTGGAATTTGAGCATCCTAATGGGTGTGTTACTTTTTGAAAGTAAAAAACCAACACAAAAATAAGTTTCAATAAGAAAAAGTTCTTTTATTTTGTGTAGTTGGCAAGCTATAGTCCCTCTCCTTCTTCTCCGTACCCTACAACTGTTGGACCAGTGGAGGGCAGTGGGCTGAGATCTCGCTACCGTTCTTCACCCACTGTCTACAACTCCCCTACTGACAAAGAAGACTACATGACAGACCTACGAACTTTGGATACTTTTCTTAGAAGTGAGGAAGAGAAACAGCATAGAGTTAAGCTGGGTATGTATGTTTTTATTCATTTCCAACTTAATATTTTTGGTGTTACTTTACATTATCCTTAACCTATTATTTTCATTACTTTGATACCTGTACATTAATATTTCTTTTTTACTAATATCCTTTGTGTAGCTCAGGAGAGAAATGCATTTTGTTTTTATATTCTATATAGTTAGAATTTTAGGTTCGCCAAATTTAAGAAGTAAAATACAGCTGAACTGAGAATTCTTGAACCTTTTATCTACATTAAGATTGAAAGCTTTTTCTATAATATAAATTATACTTTGTATTTAAAAGTTGAGGCTATAAAATGTTTTTGAAGTGATGCAGAGCAAAGCTTATTGAAGTGCTAGTTGTCTCCTTTTGGTCCTTGGAAGATTGGCGTGACAAGAGGGATAAAGGAGAAAAAACATATTTACTCTAGAAGCGCTCCTGTTTTTCAGAATATTTTCGAACTTCTCTTTAGTTTACTTTGGGAAACAATGTTAGCAAATCTTAATCTATTTGGGGTGGATTTGATTATAACAAAGTCAATTATTTGAAACCAAATTAGGTTATTGAGCCACGTAATGATTTTTGCCCCTCAGGAACTTTCACAGAAAGCACATTAGGTGCTAACGCATGGCCACAATGAGGAAGTCCGTTATTGGACCATGGCTCTTTGTGTCACTTGAAATCTCTCCATTGATTTTTAATTTAATTTTGCCTGAAAGTGCCAGAAATGTCAAAGAAACAAATCAATATTATCTTGTTATTTGTTGATGCCTGATTTTTCTTTTGGTGAAATTTTGAAATATTTCAAGTTTTCTGAAAATTATATAGAGTATAATGCAAAGCACAACCTATGTTGTTCCCTTTCCCTATCTTTGTCTTATTGAGATATTTTCTGGCTTCCATTTTTATTTTCTCTTTGACCCATTGGAGTTATTTAGAAGCATTGTTGTTATTGCTTAAAAGTAGTGTTAGTGATCGGTATTGCTTTTAATTTCCAAACATATGAAAGAAAGGTTTGATTATCTTTTATTTTTCCTCTTAAGTTAATTGTGCTACAGCTAGAGGTTGTAATCTCTACCCTGTTAATTCTTTGGTATTTTTTAAGACTTGCATTTAGGCCCGCTGTATAATTACTTTTTATAAATGGGTTTTGGTATATTGAAAAGGATGCATAGTCTCTAAATATTTGGCTCCATATTTGCCCATTGAACCAAACTTCCTGAAGGTGTTCTTAAATTCTTTATCTTATCAGTCTTCATGCACTTGCTCTATTAGTAAGAAAGTCCGTTAAAAGCTCCTACTGATTGTCTTACATTACATGTGTCCTGGTAATTCTGTCAAATTTGCTAAATATATATGAAATTATGTTAAGTGCATATAAATTCATGATTGTTAATATCATTCTGGTTAGTTATTCCTTGTATCTTTATCTCAGCTTTTTGCCTTCAGAGTCTGTTTTCTCTGATACTAACACAGCTGTACTGATTTTCTTTTGGTTAGTATTTGCCCGGTGTATCTGTGTCCATCCCTATACTTTGAACTCTGTGCCTGTAGGTTTTAGGTAATTCAGTATTTATAGAAATTAATTTTTAAATCATATTTTTGTGAGGACCTACTTTAGTTTCTTTTCAAAATTATTACTATGTTGGTTGTCGTAGTGGTTTTCTCATTCCGTCATTCCTTCTGTCTTATTCTCTTTTACATTTTTAAACATGTTTTGTGATAAAATATGCGTAAGGTTCACTATTTTAACCATTTAATCCAGTGATAGTGAGTACATTCACATTGTTGTGCAAACACCTTTTACATTCTTTTGTTGGGATTCCATTGCAAAATAACACTTTTTCTTCTCCCCAATTATGTCGTTTATTTTCATGGTTAGATTGTCTCAGATTTGGGTAGTGGGATCCTCTGACTTCAGTTTTTCTGTTTGTTGTTTTGTTTTACTTTCTAGCACCACAAGCCTATATTCCAGGCTTGTCTTGTACTTTCCTGGTTAACTAGCTCTGGAGTTAGTCCATTTCTCCAAGGAACCATGATTGCTTTTAGTAGAGAATGATGTTGAGAAATTAATGTCTGGGCACTGGATATGTCGTTGTTGATGGGATATCGTTACTCTAAGTCCTCTCAACAGACAGCTAGGAATATATATGTGTACACACACACCTAAATGTATTTCCGTATCCATCCATCTGTGTATATGAAAAACCACGAGTACAAACTGATACCTCCAATTCCAGTCCAACTATACAGTTTATACAGCCTCCTACAGTTTATTCTAGCCTCTTCCCTTTTCAGATTCGTAAGTCCTTTCTCCAATAGTAAGAAACCAGGGACTTACATTTACTCTTTCTCACGCACTTCTTTTGCTGACTGGACACTTCATCCTCAACTTTTTCGCATGCACCTCCCAAGAACGTGAACATTTTCCTTTAACTACAACATAATTACTACCATGCTTGAGATACTGGTATTAATCATATTCACATTTCTTCCAATTGACCCAATAATGCCTTTGTAGCATTTTTTTTTTCTTTTGCTGACGCAGGATCTGGTCAAGGATCATGTATCGTCCTTAGTTGTCATGCTTCTTTTGTCTTCTTTAATCTCGAACATTTGTGCATCTTTGTTTTGTTTTTCATGATTTTCATGACATTTACGTTGAGTCAGCCTAGTTGTTTGGCAAATTTGGATTTGTGTGATCATTTTTCATTATTGGATTAGATAAGAATCAGTTTAAACACGATTTTTTGGCAAGAATACAATTTACGGGACAGTGTGCTCCTCTCAGTGTATCACATCAGGAGACTCAAGATACGATTTTGTCCCTTTATTGGTAACATTAAATTAGATCGCTTGGTCAAGATGATGGCAACCTTGGCCTTTCCCTTTTGTAATTTTTAAAAAAAATTTTTTTTTTTAATGTTTTATTTATTTCTAGGAGAGAGAGAGACAGCGTGAGCAGGGGAGGGTCAGAGAGAGAGAGGGAGTGACAGACTGAAACAGGCTCCAGGCTCTGAGCTGGCAGTCAGCACAGAGCCCGACGCGGGGCTCGAACCCACAAACCGCGAGATCATGACCTAAGCGAAAGTCGGATGCTTAACCGACTAAGCCACCCAGGCGCCCCACCCTTTTGTAATTAATAAATAATCTATAGTGTGATACTTTGAGACTTGTGAGTCCTATTCCCTAGCCTTTTACCCAGTGATGTGAGCATCCGTTGATAGTCCTCTCCTGATAAGTTACTGCAGTGGTGCTTGTAGAATGGAGACTTTCTAACACTTTTATTTCTCCTGCATTTAGTAGTTTCGCATTATTCTGTGTTCCCCCTCACCCCACAGTTTGTTTGCACTGCTGGTTGGGTCTTCCATTAGTGGTATCTAACCTGCTGTTTAACTCATTTTTTTTTTAATTTGTAGTGTTTTTTTTTCCTCCAGTTTTCAAGGTTTTACTTGGTTCTCTTTCAAATATGCATGATTTATTTTAGGGTATCTTGTTCTTCTGTTTTCAACTTTTTCCTATCTCAGTTACTTTAAACATGACTTTTTTAAAGTGTCCTATAGTTCAGTTATCTAAAGTTCTCGAAGATTAAGTGCTCACATTTTTGTCTTGTTGATTCCTTTGCTTGGAACCCTCTTCCCTCTTGTGATTTATGTACTTCTTGTTTGTTTTTGGTAAGCTTATCTGCAGTACATTTCTATCTGAGCTTTTCTACCCTAGGCAGGCTGGATATAAGCCTTGTCTCCTCTTGGCAGTTTTGTATTTGCCTCTGCCAAATGACTAAGGAGCATTATGGACCTTGAACTAACTTAAGTAATTTCTGGGCTAGGAGGTTCCTGGATTTCACAGGTAGTATAAATGGGGATTCTAAACCCATGTGTAAATGGATAATTTTTAAATACCTGTACAACTTAGACGAGTCTCCTAGTTATCTCCAAGTTATCCTGTCAGTGGACAGATTTTTTTCTTATCTACCAAAAATGTGGCCTTTTGAGATTCCTAGCCCTATGCTGGTTATAGGTGTTAGAGGTAGGAGAAAAGGGTCTCAGTCCAACTCTACCTCATTACCATTTCCCACTAGGGCAGTGAAATCCAAGCTGATAGGTTTCCCAAAGCCTATAGAATTCTCCAGAGCAGCCACAGCATCAGCTCACGGGGATGCTAGGGAAAAATCGTATTTCCTGCCATCAAGGAACTCAGATTCTGTTTGGGTAAAAAGACAGACCATAGCCTTAAAGTGTAATAAGTACTCTGGTAGAATCCTCTAGAGGATGAAGTCCCCATGTTAACTATTAACGTTTCCTAAAAGTAAGTTTATAAATTTAAAAATGTAATCAGCAGTCTCTTTTAATGCAACACAGGAATTATTACAGGCCATAAAGAGAACACAGTAGTACAGGGAAGAGTGAGTGGAGCTGCTGGCCCACAGAGTAGTTTATTAATAGGAGGCTGTAGTCCTACCATTCAGAAAGAGCTACTAAAAATTCAAGCAAGGAACTTCCTTAGCCTACTTATTTCCTGAGGAAATTTGTCTTTTGTTTGTTTTTTGCTGAGTCATTTGAAAGTCTCAGGGAATGAAACAAGCTTGATTTTATAACAAAAATAAACAGACACTTTCAACCACTTGATTGATATTGCTCAGAAAATGTTCTTTTTAATTTTTAGCACAGGCAGTCTGTGTTCTCTAAAGAAGAGGTGATGTCAGGGAGGAGGGAAGAGAAGAGTCTCGTGGGGCTTTGTCTGCCTCGATTGCTATCGCCTAGGTGCCCAGATACCTGGTGTTCGTGTGCTAACTCCAAATGTCAAAGTTATTACAGCACACACTGATGCTCTGTAAATTCATCATTGTAGGGAGTCCAGATTCTACCTCGCCTTCCACCAGCCCTACGTTCTGGAACTACAATCGTTCTATGGGAGATTATGCACAGACTTTAAAGAAGTTTCAGTATCAGCTTGCCTGTAGGTCTCAGGCCCCGTGTGCTAACAAAGATGAAGCTGATCTCAGTTCTAAACAAGCTGCAGAGGAGGTAAATGGGAAATAAAAATGACTTCGTATTTATGACTGCAGATTGTTATAAAGTCTCTGCTACTTCTGGAACATTTTTTTGTTTGTAATCTTTGCTGTTACTGGCTAGAAACATAAATCTGGCACACATTAAACACTGGAAAGACCCCTATCTAACTTTGTGTACCTAAAACTGAATTATATTGTATGCTTTATTTTTTATTACATATAGTTGACATTAGTATCCACACTAAAACATTTTTCTGCATTCATTTATAAAAAGGTATCTCAAGTATCTATTTGTATTTAATATATACAAGACTTACTTTTTTTTTTTTTTTTTTTAATATTTTTATTCTAGGAGAGAGAGAGAGACAGCGTGAGCAGGGGAGGGTCAGAGAGAGAGGGAGACACAGAATCCGAAACAGGCTCCAGGCTCTGAGCTGGCAGTCCGCACAGAGCCCGACGCGGGACTCAAACCCACAAACCGTGCGATCATGACCTAAGCGAAAGTCGGACGCTTAACCGACTAAGCCACCCAGGCGCCCCTACAAGACTTACTTTTAAAATATATTTGGATTGGAACATTTGAACTTTATCAATTTAATACCAAATATAAGATTTTTGTTTTGGGGGCACCTGGGTGGCTCAGTCAGTTGAGTGACCGACTTCATCTCAGGTCGTGATCTCACGGTTCATGGGTTCGAGCCCTGCGTCAGGCTCTGTACTGACTGCTAGCTCAGGGCCTGGAGCCTGCTTCAGATACTATATCTCTCTCTGACCCTTCCCTGCTCACACTATCTCTCTCTCTCTCAGAAATAAATAAAAACATTAAAAAAATTTTTTTTTAATTTTTTTGTTTTGTTCATAAAGCAGGAATATTCTTTAAACATACCAACGTAAGGAATTTTAAAGATATATCTGTTCATGAATAGCAGCCAAATGGTTAGTAAGAAAATTCTTGCATATTAATTAGATGAATATCAGTGTTTATGAAGTTTTTTTCAGATATTTTTTCCACATATTTTTGAGAGCAGAGGAAAGTGACCGATTTCTGACAAGATTTTTCCACACTGATTGTTCATTTTAAACATATTTTTAATAGGTTTGGGCAAGAGTGACTATGAATAGACAACTTCTTGATCATATGGATTCATGGACAGCTAAGTTCAGAAATGTAAGTTCTGACATTACTCTTCAGACAATATTGGTGCCTCTTAATATGCAAAGTGTGTTATTAGAATATTATTTAGAGGTGTTAATTACTGATTAGAGTATCAGAATTAATTATTATGAAAAGTGCAGTATGGATGGTACATATGTAAGGATAAACATGACATTTACCTTATGCTGTCTGTTTTGATCAGATTTTTTTTCTCTCCGTATTTAGTAAATCAGTTTATTTGAGTGGAGCAAGGAATAATATATCTAGTTATTAAGACCTTCTTTCTAACAGCTCAGTTTTCTTTTTTTTCAATTTTTTTCTTTTTTTTTCAATTTTATTTTTCAAAGAGCTTTTCTGTCAGAACCTTTTATGTATCTAGAAATGTGAAGGAAACAAAAACAAGGTCCTTGCCCTCAGAGAACTTTTAAGTTAAAGAGAGAAGGTAATATATATTAGAAACTACTTCAGTAACTTTCATTTCTTCAGTTGTTTTAGAGAAGAACCCTCTCAGCCAAAGGGCTGATTCATGCAGAGTGAGTGAGTGCCCTCGTTTCAGCCCTGCCTCTTCCCTCCCCTCCGTAGTCCCGGTGTGTCCGAATCCTGTTCCGTGGGACACGCTGGTCCCTCCTCCACTTCAGGGAGCACTGCTCCCACTGTTTCACGCTTCAGCGTGCAACCATCCACCCTACAGCTTTGAGAAATAACTTTAAAATCACTTATCTACTTTTTTATTCTTTTACTATAATTTTAATTAGCTATCAGGAAGGAGTAGTGAAAATAGCAGCCTGTTTTTTCTTGAACCAGAAGTTCTGGGTGGCTTTTTAAACATAAAAATTCCCTCATGGAGATGAAAGGTACAACACAGAGAATATAGCCCTGTACGCCTCAGGTAACTTTGTTGCAGCCCTAGGGTGGCTAGCAAGTAGAATGCGTTGAATACATGTTGGAGGAATGAATGAGTAAAATGATATCCTAGAACTGCACTCTCTTCTAATTACAGGCTTGAAAGTTTACAGTTTTGGGGATTTTTTTTTAAAGGTAGTGTGCATATAGCATGTAATATCGTGTAATACTACTTACTAGCAGAGTCTGGTTAGCACTCCGTAATCAGACACATTAATATTTGTAGCAAAACGTATGAATAGTCATACTAAATGAGATAAAGTCTTTAAATAGCCTCATGGGAGTTTAGTTCAGGTCTTGCCAGTATATCTGATTTGCTTGCTAAATAGATTACTGAACAGCTTTGTGTTTTTATAGATTTCTTAATTCACAAGTTTGTATAAGGAATTGTAGACTTGTATTTCATCTGAAACTTTTTCATCCTTCCATTTCATAGTTAAACAGAAGCATGGAAACAAGTAAAGTAGCAGTTAAAGTTGCCACTAACACTTATGCAAAACACATAACAAACAATTCAGATGGTGTTTCTTTGACAGTCTTTTCATATCCCAGAACTAGATTGATGTTAGCCATCCTAATTGGCATTTGAAGTTTCTAATCCTAAAGTAATATTGTAATATTCATAAACCAGTATCAAATAGATCTGTTTTCCATGTAGTTAGGGAATTGGGTAAGCCTGCTGAGTTATCAATTATGTTAGTTTGAAAAACTATCTTATTAATTACAAACCAGTATAAACACGACATGGATAAATGTATAATTAATGTAGAAATGTAAATCAGAGATTCTCCTTTCAGCTAAGTATAATAACCACAGGAAATTTTGAGAAAAACTTAACTAAAACTTTTATATATTTTCTTCAGCAAAAAAGCAGGCGTATGTGATTTAAGAATATAACTTTTTACACTCTGCTGGCTTGCTTACTTAATTAACTGTCTAGACTTCAGGTTGCTGCTGCTTTGTTCTTTTTCATTATATTCTGTTAATATTCAAGTACAAGACAGTAAAAATATTCTTAGTGTTTCATGAATATAATTATTTGAGAAATGCTTTAGAATTATGTGTGTAAAATCTTTGCCTTGTTTCTTCCCTAGTGGATCAATGAGACAATATTAGTGCCACTGGTACAAGAGATCGAGTCTGTCAGCACCCAGATGAGACGAATGGGTTGTCCCGAGCTTCAGATAGGAGGTATGTGCAAATAGGGCCCGGCGTTTGATTTACCTTCAGTGACTCTGCCAAGCAGAAATTTTCTTTTCATATTGGGCTATTTAACAACTTCCTTTGTTACCTTGAGGTGAGGACAAAACTAGATGTTTATAATATATATTAGAATTTACTTTCTGTATAGTTCAGCCATTTAAAGTCTACAATTCAGAGAGTTGGGTTGTGCAAACAGAATCAATTTTAGAATATCTCATCACCCAGAAAAGAAATCCCACAAAATCTTCAGCAGTCACCCTGTTTTTCCCATCACCCAAGCACCCCAGCTCAACCTGATCTTGAAAGCTATCGTATATCTTTTTATACATACCCTACAAAAATATTTGTGTATGAGTTGTTTACAGATTTGCCAAAATGGATCTGACTATTGCTTTTGGGGTGTGTACACGTGTCGCATGTATGTTTATAAATTTGGCCCCTGTGCCAGCAACAGTAAAATAAATTATACGTAAAGTAGATAATGGTCATTGTGAAAATAAACTATTCAATTCTTGCTTTCACTTATTCCTTCGGCTACTGAAGGAGGAACACTCTTAAGTTCTAGAGACCCATGTGAAGAATAATGTGTGTCCTGTGTGTTTTGTTTCTCACAGAGGCTAGCATTACTAGCTTGAAGCAAGCTGCTCTGGTCAAAGCTCCCCTCATTCCAACTTTGAACACAATTGTGCAGTATCTAGACCTAACACCGAATCAGGAATACTTGTTTGAAAGGATTAAAGGTAACTAGTAATTTGAAGAGGGAAAAAAATTTCGCTACTTTGAGATAACAAGGGAAAAAAAATTTTAAGTATCACTATGTTGTATTTTATGAACATATTAATTATGGCTTAATGAAGGCTTATATACTTGAATAGTGTTTGGGTTTTATATTTCTTATTGCCTAAGAATTGTCAGAATGATGTAGTTAGCCTTGAATCTGCTCATTCATTTTATTCCGTAGAGGGGAAATTTAATGTGAGCTACATGGGCTACAGTAAATATTTCACCTATTTTCTACCCTTAAACCACTAAGAATGGGCGCCATGGTGACATTCTTTATCATTTCAGCATGTTGGTCCTTGTTTCTTTCCATTCTTGTAATTTATATTTAATGTATTGCTTCTGTGTATTTCTTTTCTATTCGGATTATTTGGAGGGAAATGTGATCTTCTGAGGAAACTGACGTGAGGATCAGGAAAGTTAGCCTCCCTTATATTCCCAAACTCTCTCTTTATGCTTCCTGCTTTTATTTGGATAAACTGTAAAATGTTCTCATCACTAAAGAAAGTTTTAGAAATAGTATTTCTTTAGAATTATCATAATTGTTAACTTGAAAACATTATGGTGCCCTCTCCCCCCACCTAGGTTTGGACTGGGATTTAGAAATAAGCATTTTTCATGACCTTTAAAAAACTTTTTATTATAAGGAGAATTCAGCTATCCATAACACTAGCCACAGCAGTATGCTCAAGGCTCCTGCACATAGCCCCTGGTCCCAGCTGACAGCCGGTAGTCCCTCGGTGTCCCCAGCCCTGTCCACATCCCCTTCTACCTCCTCCCTTCCTGTGTTATATATAGTTCTGTATGCTCTTGTCACTTCCTCTGTAAGTAGCTCTGTATATGTCTCAAATTATCAGGTCTTTTGAAAACATAACCTCAGTACGATTATCACACCTAATATTTTTAAAACAATTTCTTTATATTATGCAATGCATAGCCTATGTACGTACGAATTTCCAACATGTCATAAAATGTGTAATTGCTTTTTTGGTACTGTTTGCATTGGGATTCAGATATTATCACATGTTGTGACGAGTCGATACAGCTTTTAAGCTCCTTTTAAGCTGTCCATCCTTTTTTTTCTTTGCAACTTATTTATGGAAAAAACTGGATTGTTTGTCCTACAGAGTTGCCCATATTGTGGATTTTACTGAATGCATCCCCATGGGGTGTAGTTTTACATGATCCTCTGTCCTCTGTATTTCCTGTAAATTCAGGTTGCAATTTTTTAACAAGATTGCCTGATACATAGGTATTTGTGTATCCAAAAAAAAGTGTGTGTGTACATGTATACAAGTACAGATAAGGTATTGTTATAGCCTAAATCAATTATACAAAAAAGCTTAAAAAGTACAATGAACACTGTGTAGGCCTTCTAGACTGAACAGTTACCAACATTTTGCTATAGTTGATTTTCTTTCTCTCTCTACATATATACACACACTGTTTTTTTTTTTTTTTGGCTCTACCATTTGAAATTGATCACAGACACCATTTTTAGTATGCAAAAGTTTTTAAATGAGAACATTCTCCTACATAACCCCAGTACATTTAACAGACCTTTAAAATTAGCAGCATTTCTAAAATCATCTAATATACAATTCATATTCAGATTTCCCAATTGTCCAGCAATGTTACACACCCTGTTTTCCCTAACCAGAATAGAGTCTAGTTTCACACATCACCTTATGGTGTTTTATCTTTCTTTGGTCTCTTTCTCTAGAACAGTTCTGTTCCCCTTTTCTCCCTACATGACATTGACTTTTTTAAGAATCCTGAATAGTAGTTTTATCCCATGTTTTAGATTTGTCTGTTTCTTCATGGTAGTGTGTGAGTTACTCTTAATATCTTATATTTCTTTAGGTTTGGGTGTTTTCATCAGATTTTTAAGGTGTTATGCTTCTTATTGTTATCTGTAGCCTTTTCTTCTTCTTCTTCTTCTTCTTCTTCTTCTTCTTCTTCTTCTTCTTTTTTTTCAATATTTTTGGCTTCTTAAATGTCATCTTTTTTGCTCCAGAACTTTCTCAGGGAGGCTGTATGAGTTCATTTCGATGGAATAGAGGTGGAGACTTCAAAGGACGGAAGTGGGATACAGACCTGCCCACTGATTCTGCAGTAAGTCCCTACATTTTTCTCAGTTTAACATTTTCCCCTGTTAATTGGATTTATGTGCTTTTATTTTTCCATTATAAAAATAATATTAAAAAGAACTTAAAAACTAAGAAATAAAAGTTTAAAATTGTACTAGCATCTATCTTAACCGCTGCTAATATTTTGGTGTTTTTTTTGTTATTGTTGTTTTAATTTTTTTTTAATGTTTATTTGAGAGAGAGAGGGGGGAAGTGAGTGTGTATAAGTGGGGGAAGGGCAGAGAGAGAGAGAGATACAAAATCTGAAACAGGCTCCAGGCTCTGAGCTGTTAGCACAGAGCCTGACACAGGTGAACCCACGAACCCTGAGATCATGACCTGAGCCAAAGTAGGACACTTAACCAACTGAGCCACCCAGTTGCCCCCATTGTTTTTTTTTTGTTTTGTTTTGTTTTTTTGAGAGAATAAGGGGGAGGACAGAGGGGGAGAGAGAGAGAGAAAATCTTTTTTTTTTTTTCTTAAAATGTTTATTTTTTGAGAGAGAGAGAAAAAGCAAGCCGAGGAGGGGCAGAGAGAGAGGGAGAGAGAATTCTAAGCAGGTTCCACACTGTCAGCGTAGAACCTGTTATGGGGCTCAAACTCATGAACTGTGAGATCATGACCTAAGGTGAAACCAAGAGTCGGATGTTTAACTGACTAAGCCACTCAAACACCCCATGAGAATCTTTTTAAAAATAAAATGTTTTTAATGTTTTATTTATATTTGAGAGAGAGCGCAAGCTAGCACAAGCAGGGCATGAGCAGAGAGATATGGAGACAGAATCCAAAGCAGGTTCCAGGTTCTGAGCTCTCAGCACAGAGCCTGATGTGGAGCTCAGACCCTTGAGCAGTGAGATCATGACCTGAGCCAAAGTTGGAGGCTTAATTGACTGAGCCACCCAGCCACCCCCTGGAGAGAGAAAAACTTTAAAGCAGGCTCCACTCTTAGTGCAGAGGCTAATGTAGGGCTCCATCTCACAACCATGAGATCATGACCTGAGCCAAAATCAAGACTCATATGCTTAATTGACTGAACCACCCATGCGTTCCAAGATTGTGCTGTTTTTTAATGCTTTTATCATAGTTGTAATTATCCCACACTTAAAATTTTGTATCCTTTTTTTTTATCACTTTTGCCATGTTTAAAAATTTTTTTATTATTACCCAGTGTCCATGAACTGTTCTCCAATATTGGACCTAAAAATTTGAGACATGTGGTAGGAGAGGAATTTTTGTTTTTCTATTTTAAATAATATTGTAACGGAGGATCGTGGGGGGGAGAAGGGGGAAATAGTGGGGGAGAGGGAGGGAGGCAAACCATGAGAGACTCTTGAATGCTGAGAACAAACTGAGGACTGATGGGTGTGTGTGGGGGGGGTGATGGGCATGGAGGAGGGCACTTATGGGGATGAGCACTGAGTGTTGTATGGAAATCAACTTGACAATAAACTATTTAAAAAATAATAAATGATATTGTAAGGAATGTCATGATGCATATTTCTCCTTGGGGATTATGGCTTTAAGAAAGATTCCTAGAATAAAGATTTATGAGATCAGAGAATGTAAAGTTTTTGAACATTTAAGAGTTTCAAGATCATGTTCTTTATTTTTTAATAGTGACCGTGACTGTGTAAAAATAAAGTTTCAAATGGTGATATTCAAATTGAGAATGTATACGTATTTTTATCTTGGTTTTTTGTTATTAACTTTATGAGAATGAATGATCCACTTAACAGAAAACTAGGAATGTCTTGCTTTATCTTTTCATTTTATAGATTTCATCTTCTAAATATCACCACTTGAAAGCATTTTTGCTAGTTCTCTCTTTAGGGAAAAAATTTAAAGATTGGAGTCCCTATAAACAGTGGTGTTTTTAAAGGGCTTATATGTAAGATAGATTTTCATGCTGATTTTAAAAAATTGTTTCCTCGTCTTCAGATCATCATGCATGTATTTTGCACCTACCTTGACTCCAGATTACCTCCACATCCTAAGTACCCTGATGGGAAAACATTTACTTCTCAGCACTTTGTTCAGACACCAAATAAACCAGGTATACACCTCCTAAAAGAATGGGTTGAGATTTTCACATGAGATATATCTAGAGATTTAGCTTGATTTTTAATGTTTTTTGCAGATGTGACAAATGAGAATGTTTTTTGCATTTATCAGAGTGCTATCAACCCTCCCCATTATGAGCTAATCTACCAGCGTCATGTCTACAACCTTCCAAAGGTACTTCTTTTAAAAAATTTTTTTAATGTTGTTTTATTTTTGAGAGAAAGAGCGTGTGCATGCAAGTGGGGGAGGGGCAGAGAGAGAGGGAGACACAGAATCTGAAGCCGGCTCCAGGCTCTGAGCTGTCAGCACAGAGCCCATTGCAGGGCTTGAACTCATGAACTGTGAGATGATGATCTGACCCAAAGTCTGACGCTTAGTCAACTGCGCCACCCAGGAGCCCCCAAAGGTACTTCTAAATGTAGAAATTGCTCTTGCAGAAGGTCATGGATGACTTGCTTTGATAATATTTTTTTAATTAAAGTCTCTTATTTAAGGAATAGGTAATCTTTTTAAATTAGGGAAAATGTGTTTCTTGAATGTCCCTTCTTTTAACTATAAAAGTAATATATGCTTAATTTGGAAAAGTATAAAGAAAAAGAAAGATCAGAGGCACCTGGGTGCCTCAGTCGCTTAAGCATTCAACTTCGGCTCTTTTCATGACCTCACAGGCTCATGGGTTTGAGCCCTGCAGTGGGCTTGACATTGATGGTTTGGAGCCTGCATGGGCTTCTTGCTCTTTCCTCACTCTCTGTCTCTCCCCCAGTCGCACTTTGTGTCATAATAAATAAATTTTGAAAAGAAGGATCACTCATTCCTTTACTTAAAGGCAGCTATTGTTAGCATTTTTATTTTATTGCCTTCAGTAAATTTCATTTTGGCCTTTTCTCTGTGCTGTTTTATGGGTTGAAATCATACTATTTGTGTAGTTTTACTTCCTTTTAAAAGTTAACTTTCTTAAGGAACCCTTTTGCACTGCTGGTGGGAATGCAAACTGGTGCCGTCACTCTGGAAAACAGTATGGAGGTTCCTCAAAAAATTAAAAAAAGAACTACCCTACAGCCCAGCAATTGCACTACTAGGTATTTATCCAAAGGATACAAAAATGCTATTTGGAAGGGATACAGGCACCCAGTGTTTATAGCAGCACAATAGCCAAAGTATGGAAAGAGCCCAAATGTCCCATCGACAGGTGAATGTATAAAGAAGATGTAGTATATAAATACAATGGAATATTACCTGGCAATCAAAAGAATGAAATCTTGCCATTGCAGCAATGTGGATGGAACTGGAGAGTATTATGCTAAGGAAAATAAGTCAATCAGAGAAAGACAGAGATCATATGACTTTACTCATATGGGGAATTTAAGAAATACAACAGATGAACATAGGGGAAGGGAAGCAAAACTTAGATAAAAACAGAGGAAGACACACTGTGAGAAACTCTTAAATACAGTGAACAAACCGAGGGTTGCTGGCTGGCTGGGCGTTGGGTGCAGGGATGGGCTCAATGGGTGATGGGCATTAAGGAGGACACTGGTTGGGATGAGCACTGGGTGTTACATGTAAGTGATGAATCCCTAAATTTGTTCCTGAAATCATGATTATACTACATGTAACTGACTTGGATTTAATTTTTTTTGAAGTGAATGTTAAAAAAAAAAACTAAATTAACTTAAAAAACATAATTTTTCATCCTATTAAAGAGCTCTCGTAGAAATACTTTCTAATGGCTATAAAAAAGTTTATTATAAGAGGGCACCCAGGTGGCTCAGCTGGTTAAGCATCCAACTTTGGCTCAGATCGTGATCTTGTGGTTCATGAGTTCAAGCCCTGTGGCCAGCTCTGTGCTGACAGCTCAGAGCCTGGACCCTGCTTCAGAATCTGTGTCTCCCTCCATCTCTGCCCCTCTCCCACTCCCACTCTGTCTCTCTGTCTCTCTCTCTCAAAAAATAAATGTTAAAAAAAATTTTTTTTAAGTTTATTATAAGATTGTGACATAATTTATTCAACCATTCCCCTACCGTTGGACACTTTGGATGTTCTAAATCTTTGTCTCATAAATACTGGTGAATATTCATCTTTATGGATATTGCTGTCTGCATTTTGGAAAATTTTGCTAAAGTCCAAAAGTGGAATTCTAGGTTACAGAATATTTTCAAAGCTTTTATTTTTTTTTATTTTTTATTTTTTTACAAATAGTTTATTGTCAAATTAGTTTCCACATAACACTCAGTGCTCATCCCCACAAGTGCCCTCCTCCATGCCCATCCCTCCTCCCCTCAAAGCTTTTAAAATAGATTATCAAACTACTTTTATACAAAAGGTTATTGTACCAGTTTACATTTCTATTCAGGTATCTTACTCTTGACTATAAACTTCAGTTCTGTTGATGACCTTTGTAGTTATTGTTGTTACCAGTTTCTTTATGAAGAAATTTTACATTGATTATAATCATAAATTACGTTCTCCATCAGATTCCTAGAAGAGAGTATTTCATTTTTTTCAAGTTTAATATTTTAGCTTTCTAAGTGTTAATATTTGGACCTTTGAAGTTTCTATACAAATCCATGCAAATGAAAGTGTGAATTACATGGAGTCCTGAGTTAGTAGAATGTGAATCGATAGGATCTGCATTTATCTTTTTGTTTGGTTTGCGTAATCTTTGACTTGGCTCGGTTTAAATCTTGCTGTCTTTTTTGTCTTTATTCCAGGGCCGAAATAATATGTTTCATACATTGTTAATGTTTCTCTATATCATAAAAACCAAAGAGTCAGGAATGCTTGGGTAGGTATTGATGCCTTAAAAACGCAAGTACTTAATTTATTTACTGTTTTTCTTCCCATGTTAAGATTCTGCAGAAGCAGCAGCATATATTGAAAAGATTGTGGACTGAACAAGAGTTATGGCTTCTGGTACTAGTTCAGCCCTGTCCCTAACCAATTCTGCTCCCTTGGACAAATCTGTCAGTTCCTCACCAACCTCTATTTCCCCTTTGGTTAAAAGTTGAAACACATCATTGGCTTTACAGTTGTGTCCCTCAAAGAGCAACTCTGAGATGTGTATCAAGCTCTTCCCAGTTTAAAATTTAAAAACAAAACCAAAGCCCTCCCATTTCAGATACAAAGCCTTCTGCAAAATATTTATACTTCTGGAGAGACTGAGTCAGCACCCATTCCGTCATATTATTAACTGGGATGGGAAAATGGTCAGTTGAAATTGTTTACTTTGTTATTCTAAATATTTAGTAATGAAGCTCACATGCTGTTTCTATAAATTCAGAATTGTCATATGGTCATTTTGGTGATTCGAAATTTTAGTATATCAAATAATATTTTGAAGTAGGGGGACTACAGTTAAAGCTGGGGAAATCTCGTAATGTGAAGTCTGGAGGTCTCAAACCCTGAGGTTAAGAAAATGTGAAGGGAAAGGCTTGGAGTGCAGAACATCTGGGGTCCATTCCGGTTCTGATATGCATGCCTCTTCTCAGTTTTGCTTAAGCATCCTGTTTTATACATGTTCTAGAACTACTTTGTCTCATACAGCAGCCATCAGCCACGTGTGGCTTTGAGCACTTGAAACAAGACTAATCTGAATTGAGATGTTCTGTAAGTGTAAAGTATATAGACTAGAATTTGAAGACCCAAAAAAGGGAGCAGGTGGGCCAAAGATCTCAATATTTTTGTGCATTGATTGCCTGGTGAATTAATACATTGGATATATTGGGTTAAATGAAATAGATTACTAAAATTAATTAAACCTGTTTCTTTTTACTTTCTATAAAAATTTTAAGTTGTCTGTTAGAAAATTTTAAATTATGGGGGCACCTGGCTGGCTTAGTCAGTAGAGCTCACAACTCTTGGTCTCTTAGGGCCATGAGTTCAAGCCCCACACTAGGCATAGAGCTCACTTAAAATAAAATATTTTTAAATATAAATATAAATTTTAAAAAAATTTAAGTAAGTAGCATAAAAATAAATTAAAAATATATTTAGAAAAAAGAAAATTTTAAATGATGTATGTGGTTTGCATTTGGCTGACATCACATTTTATTTGTATTGGATAGCACTACTCTAGAGAGAGCCAAGTTCCTGTCCTTAAACATATTAGATTCAGGGATTTTTTAAAAGACATAAACAGTAATTTTAAACAAATATAAATCTTTTTTAGCTTCTTTTTATCATATTAAATTTTTAAAAAAATTTTTAATGTTTATTTTTGAGAGGTGGGAGAGGGGCAGAGAGAAATGGAGACACAGAATCCGAAGCAGGCCCCAGTCTCAGAGCTGTCAGCACAGAGTCCAGTGTGGGGCTCCGACTCCTGAGCCATGAAATCATGACCTGAGCTGAAGTCAGATATTTAACTGACCCCAGGAGCTCCTTTTATCGCATATATATATATTTTTTTTAATTTTCTCTAATTTTTTTTTTTTTTTTTTTTTTTTNACTGACCCCAGGAGCTCCTTTTATCGCATATATATATTTTTATTTTAATTTTCTCTATTTTTTTTTTTTTTTTTTTTGAGAGAATCAAGAGTGCGAGCAGGGGAGAGGCAGAGGGAGACAAAGAAACTGAAGTAGGCTCCAGGTTCCAAGCTGTTACAACAGCACAGAACCCAACAGTGGGGCTCGAACCCACAGATTGTGAGATCATGGCCCAAACCGAAGTCTGACGCTTAACTGAGCCACCCAAGTACTCCATTGTCATATATATTTTTTAATGTAAGAAAGATTAAATAGGAAACTCACTTTTGTGAAGCATCTACACTAATGTGGTTCTTTTTTCCTTATGTTTTAATTACAAAAATAATACATGCCCAATATGTAAATACTTAAATGCTACAGCAGTATATAAACCAGAAATTGAAAATTCCCTTCTGGTCAACCTCTCAATCCCACTGCATCTAAGGACCCAAGGTTAGCAGTTAAAAGTGTATGTTTATAGACTACTTTCTGGGAATAAGTTGATTTGGGTTTTATTTTTAATTGTGTTTAAAAAATTTATTGTGGGGTGCCTGGGTGGCTCAGTTGGTTAAGCGTCTGACTTCAGCTCAGGTCATGATCTCACGGTCCGTGGGTTCGAGCCCCGCGTCGTGCTCTGTGCTGACAGCTAGCTCAGAGCCTGGCGCCTGCTTCAGATTCTGTGTCTCCCTCTCTCTCTGACCCTCCCCTGCTCACACTGTCTCTCTCGCTCTCTCTCAGAAATAAATAAAACATTTTTTTAAAAAGTATAGATTTCTAAAAAATAATAATAAAATTTAAAAATGTATTGTGCCCAAACATATTATTCTGCCCTGCTTTTTATTTTTTTCATTTATTTTTTTTTTTTTTGAGGACAGTTATCTGGGTTTTTTTAAATAGTTTATTGTCAAGTTGGTTTCCATATAACACCCAGTACTCATCCCCTCAAATGCCCTCCTCCGTGCCCATCACCCCCCCATCTGTTCTCAGTTTGTTCTCGGCATTCAAGAGTCTCTCATGGTTTACCTCCCTCTCCCCCACTATTTTTCCCCTTCTCCCCCATTCTGCCCTGCTTTTTAATCTCACTTTTTGTCTTAGACATTCTTCCATGTCAGTAAATACAGATTTTTTTCCTAAAATTTCTAGCAGTGTTTAGTTATAAATATGTGCATGCATATGTATTAGAAATATGGAATATGTTATAAATATATTGTTTTATAATTCCTCACTTAATGTTTCTGAAAGGCTATTTTGAAGTGAAGAATTAACTTAGAAGTATTTTAGGGGCGCCTGGGTTGCTCAGTTGGTTAAGCATCCAAATTCGGCTCAGATCATGATCTCAAAGCTCATGGGTTCAAGCCCCACATAGGGCTCTGTGCTGACCGCTCAGAGCCTGGAGCCTGCTTCAGATTCTGTGTCTCCCTCTATTTCTGTGTCTCCCCTACTTATGCTCTGTCTCTCTCTGTCTCTCAAAAATGAATAAATGTTAAAAAAAAAATTTAATAAAAAATATTTTAAATCAGTAGTAAATGTTTTTAATGTTTATTTTTGAGAGAGAGAGACAGAGTGTGAGCTTGGGAGGAACAGAGAGAGAGGGAGACGCAGAATCCAAGGCACACTCCAGGCTCTGAACTTTTAAGTATAGAGCCCGACATGGGGCTGGAACCCACGAACTGCAGGATCATGACCTGAGCCGAAGTCGGACGCTTAACCAACTGAGCCACCCAGGAGTTTTAACTGAAAGTTTATCTTTTCCTCTGTAGATCCAAATTGACATTTTGATGCATAAATGATTTGTCATGATAGCATGAAGTTTGTCTTGAGTGCTACTCACAATTTGTCCTGCACATAAAAATAGGAAATTTCAGAGTACTTAGGAGGTACCTGGCTGGCTCAATCTATAGAGCATGTGGCTCTTGATTTGGGGGTTCTTAGTTCAAGCCACGTGTTGGCTATAGAGCTTACTTAAAAAATAAATAAATACAGTAAAGTAAGATGAGTATTTAGTGGGGTAATAACTTGCTCAGAGGCCAAAAAGAATTGATACAATTTTTGAAGTGCTTATCTTCTGAGCAACTTCTGTGTGGAAAAGGAACATTTTAGACTGAAAATAATACATCTTTTATTTATTTGAGATTTTTTTTCTTAACCAAGGGAAAAACTTTGAAATTATTAACTTTTTAAATGATTAATCTATTTGATACATTCTAAAACAAACAAATGATTGAAAACTACTATCTTATAACTTAAAGGAAATAAGCATGTGGCTCAAATATAGTCCATTTGGAATCATGCCCATAAAGGAACAGATTGATCCAAATACATTGTCAATTCAATGCCAGGCATTTGTGCAATTACTGGAATGAGATGAATGTTTTTTCCTCCAGAAGGGGGTAAAGATCTAGACAGAATTGACTGCACAGTAATTTAAGTGTTCTGTTCAGCAAATAAATCATAAATAAAGTTTAAAGCTAAAGCTAAATGGCAAACTGAGACAGAATTTTATAGTTGCAACACGTATAGCAAGTCCAAGCTAATATCCATCATATGTAAAGAGCATATATAAATTCATTAGGAAAGAAATATATAGAAAATGGTCATAGACATGAAAAACTTGCACAAAAATCTTTGTGCAAATGGCTAATAAACACAAAAAGATGCTTAGTTAGCCTCATACAGAAGCCAAAATTAAAACATTTTTTATATCAGATTGAGATTTATCATTGGCAGGTTTGTTTTAAAGATTTTATTGTTGTATATTTTTTAATATACGCAACATGGGACTCGAACTCACAACCCCTGAGATCAAGAGTTGCATGTACTACTGATTGAGCCAGCCAGGTGCCCTTATCATTTGTAGTTTTGGTGAAGAAGTTCCTTGAAGAAATGAGAAAAACCAATTAGTACCGAAATGACTTTTTTGAAGGGCATTTTTTTAAATATATAAATATCTATATTTTAATTTTTATCAAAATACTACTCATAATTTTACAAGTCCTGTGATGCTACAAGTTCATGACAGAAATAAGCAGTCCCCTGGTCCCCAAGCCCACTGAAGGCAGCCACTGGAAACTCTTAGTCTTTTTCTTCTGATACTACTCTCATAGTTCCAGATAACAGACGCATGCAGCTCTCTCTTGATTGTTCAGTTAGGGACTTTGGAGGTTGATTTCTTACTTTGTCAGATGAGTAATCTTTTTTTTTTTTTTTAATTTTTTTTAACGTTTATTTTTTAGAGACAGTGCATGAGTGGGGGAGGGGCAGAGAGAGAGGGAGACACAGAATCTGAAGCAGGCTCCAGGCTCTGAGCTATCAGCACAGAGTCCAATGTGGGGCTCGAACTCATGGACCACGATATCTTGACCTGAGCCGAAGTCGGGTGCTTAACTGACTGAGCCACCCAGGCGCCCCGAGTAATCTCTTTCTCTTATAGCCCTCTCCTCCCTTCGTACTTTGAATACTGTATAGTACTCTCTATAGTAGAAATAGATTTTTCTTTTTGTTCATATATAAGTAGGGTTTAGTTTAAGCTCTATTAAGAATCCCCATGTACAAATTCACTAAAGCATCCATAATAGTAAATTCTTAATTCGGGTTGAATAGGTAAAATTCTCTAAGAGACCTGGCATCTCTATATCCTCCATTTAAAAAATGTAATTGATACTTCTACTTTGATCTTTTTAAAAGTATTCTGTAATAGTTCTTGAATTTTCCACACCCCATAAATCCATTTGTTCCAAATTGGGGTTTTAAGCACAGTTAAGAAAGCAATTACTATTACTAGGGTCCACTTGATAAACCATATGTAACATAACTCATTACAGAATAGCGTTAAATGTTATTAATTAAATATGTGTTCCTTGTAAAGACTCTTGTTTTGTTATTTGAAAAAAGACCTTAAATGTTTGGTAATCAGTTCAACTAAAAAGTTGTGTTTTTTTTCCCCTTTATAGGAGAGTTAATCTTGGTCTCTCCGGTGTGAATATTTTGTGGATTTTTGGCGAGTAGCGGGTCATTTAATCCCAAACATTTGGACTTCTATTTGATTGAACCAGGAGTTGAATCTAAGGATCTCTGAGTCACTGCCTCTTTTGAAATAAGATACATATGTGTGTATTAACAGACTCTTCTAGATTTAATGAAAAATTAGCTGTTATGAAACTTCTTGTGAAAGTATTTCCCATGTTCTCTATACCAAGAGACATTCCCTTCACTTTTTTTATTACCTTTCAGATTTTTCAATTGTCTATAAAACTGAGCCATCAGGTATTTGTTGACCCCAAACAGTGCAATTTCCCCTTAATTAAGAAAGTTTTGTCCTTTTTCATTGTAACCTACAAATGAGAATCATCCACCTGATTTTTCCCCACAAAAAATTATTTTTTTAATCACATTATTTGGTGTAAATATTTAAACAAGGAAATTGCTAATTCAGCTTTTTTTTTTTATCACTTTACTTTCCCCTTATTCTTCAGATCAGCCCAAGGCCCATATTTAAAGAAATGAGAAAAACTTCTAAGTAATGTATTAGTCCATGTATATTTTTAAGTACTATTGAAAGATGTTTGACAGTATTGGCATTTTTAGAAGTCTGCTCTTAGATTAACTCACAGAGTTAAACTATCTGGGTCTTAGGTTAAAAGACTGAAGACATTAAGAAACTGTTGCTTTGGTTTTAATAATTCATTTGTGTTATTTTAAGAGTTCTCTTTTAAGATCATGCGATAACTTAAAATTTTTTTAGATATGTTCAAAATATCTGGAGAGTAAGAAGTAACTGAACCTGGCTTGACTCTGTTTTCTTCCACATCTATGTAGACGACCTTGAAGGCCAGCTAGCAAGTGCATTTGTTTCCAGATCAACGTACTGTTAGACACCACTTCTGTCACCTTATGTAAACCTGGGAACAGCTAAAAACTCATAATCTTCTGAGTAACTGCATTTTGGTCCTATATATGCAGCTCATTTTTAATAATTTGTAAATTCTGTTTTTCAAAAAGGTGTTCCTGTTTTTTGAAAGTTGTATGTCCAGAGGAAAGGAGGTTTCTTTTCACTGCTTTTGATGTATGTTAAATACATTTGCTGTGGTATTTTAGAAAAAGATGTCTATTAAACATGTTAGGTATAAGAACATGTGAAAATCTAAGTACTGTTTCAAAACTTACTGAAGATGTCATGGAATAACAGTTTTATACTGTTAATATCTTTATTAAAGGGAATAAGGAGAAAAACTGTAACACATAAGATAATTTTTTTTTCTTTATAGGACTTATGGCAGCTTTTAGTCCAAAGATTCAAAGCTATAATAATTTTATTTTGTGAGTGACTATCAAAAAAATATATGGGAAATACACATGTACAAAGACTAGAGATACATACTAAAAAAGAGAAGCTCTTCTGTTTGCATACTGTGAGTCTAGTGTGGGTTACTGTATTCTAGGTAGTTTTCCTATATTGACTAGTCTCCACAAGTGTTTGAGCCAGCTTATACTTTAATGTAGCCTTTATGAAAAATACTTTGATGAATTAGTTGGAATTCACACTTCAGGAAGAAGTACACTGCAAATATGGTAATTTTTTTTTTTTTGGTCTTTGTGTTATAATGAGTAAATACCCACTTTTCTCTAATTAAATGTTACTTACAGGGTATTTTTCACAAGTTTTTCTTTCTATTGCTTGACTCATCTTTGTGGGATCAAATCCACCAATTATGTTGATTTTAGATTATGTTCACCGTATCATTTATCCACCTCCCTACCCCTCCCCCACCCCCCCGCTATGAATACCAGCCTTTACTTCAGCCAAGTTTGTTTTAGGAGCGTATCTAGATGTTTATAATTTAGTTCCCCCTAAGACATAAAAATTCCGTGTTGCTTGGCTTTCTCAAACTGATATATGGTACACTCTAAACTGATGTTTCAGGGGTGAGGCCATACAGCATACGGCTGGCACTTCTAAACTCGGCTTGTGGGATCAAATCCACCAATTATGTTGATTTTAGATTATGTTCACCGTATCATTTATCCAACCTCCTAACCCTTCCCCCACCCCCCCGCTATGAATACCAGCCTTTACTTCAGCCAAGTTTGTTTTAGGAGCGTATCTAGATGTTTATAATTTAGTTCCCCCTAAGACATAAAAATTCCGTGTTGCTTGGCTTTCTCAAACTGATATATGGTACACTCTAAACTGATGTTTCAGGGGTGAGGCCATACAGCATACGGCTGGCACTTCTAAACTCGGCTTGGGTCTGTTTTTTTAGAATATAAATCTTTTAAATGTGGACTTTTCCTCAAAAGTCAGTGTTGGTCCTGTGTTTCCCTGTCTCTGCTTTTCCTTAGAGATCTCGTTCACTCCACAACTTCGTTTATCACGTCTCTGCATTTGATTCCCAAATTCACCACCGACCGTAACCTCTCTCCTGAGCTCTGGTGCTCCATTTCCTGTGACCATGACCTGTCCGGCATTTCCACTTGGATGTCCTGCCGACTCTGCAGCCGGAACTGAATTCATACCTGCTGCAGCCAGCTCGCTCTTCTAACCTCCCCTCTCCTGTGCGTTGTACTGCCAGTTGCCCACGCTCAAAACCCCGGTGTCGTCTTTGATTCCTTAGCTCCCTGGGTCCCCAGTCCAATCAGGCAGCAAACCTCATCCATTCTTTCTTAACAGTGTCTCTTGCAGCTGTCCCTTTCCATGTCCACTGCCCCTGTGCTCATTTGCACCCTTAGCAAATCACACAGGGCCACTCCAATAGCCTGATTCATCTCGCAGCTTCCAGACTGTCCAATTCATCCCGCACGTTCTCTTCAAATTCATCTTCCTAAAACACCTGTTTGATCATTTCATTCCCCTGATCGATTCCTTAGCCTGACATTTAAAGCCCTCTGCAATCCGGCCCCATGCTAGCCTTCTCCCAGACCCTCGGCCGCCTCTGTGCTGCCTCCTGGTCTTCCCGATCACTCTCTGGGGCAGCCCCGCCCCCTCTGCCGCCCACCCTGCCCACAGACTTCGCTCTGATTAAAGCTGCTATTTTTTGGAGCAAGTCCTGACCACTCCAGCTGGCAGTCATTTCTCCCCCAGGGTGATTGGATCTGTGCCCCTCCTCTGGCACTCAGCAGCCACATGCAGAGATTCAGAAGCGGCTTTGACTCTAACAGTGCATCCTCGTATCTTTTGTCACCTTCCTAAAAGAACTGAGTTTTTTACTAGTCTGAGCTGTCCTGCTGTTCGGGAGAACTTGACCATGGCTGAAGCCACCTTCTGGGAAAGGCCTGCGTTCTCTCTGAAGAACACCTTTTGAGCAGCCAAGCACCCTGGTTTCCTTCTGTGTCAGGCCTGAGGAGAAGAAGGAAGCAGCCCCAGGCCTGGGCAGCAGCAGGGGGGCTGCCTGAGGGAGGTGTGTGGAAAATGCTGCAACCACTTCCCTGCACCTGGGCGGGTCCTCAGTGAGCTGGGGTGAGGCCGCCACACTTAGCACATTGTTCTGAATGCCATACCTCGGGATGGCTTCGGTCGCGGCTGCCCCCAGACTGTGGGTAGTGGCAAAGGGCAAAAAGCGTGACTATAAGCAACATGACTATAAGCTGGACTCTGGCGGGAAAGCTTTTGAGAAGGATCTGTGGGGGCCTAGTCTGCACACTTAAAATCAGAGGGGTTTGTACAACCAGCACCTGTGCGTCTGGGCCCCTGGCGACATGGGCACATCTCACTGAGTATGCCAGTGTCTCTGCTGAGTCTAGAGGGTTGTTAGGCGTTTGTGCTGAGCCATGTCTCTAGTCTGATCCCTGGAAGATCATCCGGGATCCCGTTTCCACACTGAGCAGTACTCACCTGGGGAACAGGTTGTGGGTTCCACACTCAGGGTTAGGAAGAAGGGTCCAGTACAGCAGGATGGGGCTGGGGAGCTTGCGGGCATGCACCCAGGACCTTGGCCACCCAGGAATATTTCACAGCAATGTCACACGCAGGCAGTCCCAGCTACTGCTGTGGACACTGTAAGGACCACTCAGAGCCTGGAGCCTGCTTTGGGTTACGTATCTCCCTCTCTCTGCCTCTCTCCTGCTCGCTCGCTCGCTCTCTCTCAAAAATAGATAACACATTAAAAAACATTTTTTAATAATAAAGCTATAGTTAAATCCTTTTATGTCCCCAAAGCAAAATGAATACTCCAAAACGAGTCTGGCGAGAGGAGCCCCTGGCCTGAATGGGCTGAGACTTGGGAGCACTGGACCAGGGCAATCACCTTTTACGCTGATTCTGATTCAGAGATCACTGAGAAGCTAACAGCTAAAATAATGCATGACTGTGATTTTAGGTAGGGGAAGAACTGCCTTTACAAGGTCTCAAAACAGCATATAGTGGGAAAGTAGGAAATGGCCCCTTTGTCACTGTCAAGCCACTATCTCGTTCATGGACCATGAGATCTTCATGGCCTTGACACCCCCTTGCGCCACCCAACTGCCCCTGCCCAGCTGGATCTGCTTCCTGGCCCCTCCTTCCTTCCCCCACCCCAGATCTGGCCCTTCCCCAGCATAGACAGTGCTTCCCTTGTACCTTGAAGGCTGGGCTTTCTGGTCTACCAAGAAAACCCTGTCTCCTTCCTTTCCCATTTCTAAACTAGAAGGAAAAAATAACAACCCTGAATCAGACTCTGCCTTCATGAACTGCATCCCACAGGAGGAAAGTCAGGAGGTGGTGATCTGCTTTGTTGGGGGCAAGATTTGTTTTTTCAGGAGCAGCAGCCAGGCACGATTCTTCCTCAAACACGTGGTATGTAGACTAGAATCAGGCAGCTCTGTGATAGTTTTGGCCCAGACTACAGGCATTAGCGTCCTGAGCTCCAGCCCCACAGAAAGGCCCCTTGTGCTCCCAATGGGGAGGGGTATCAGCCACTGGGCAGCCTGAGGGGCAGAGCGGTCGTCCAGCTAACTCAGGAAAGTGAAATTTGGCAGAAGGAAGTCTGATCTAAAGCCATCAGTCCCCAGACCTGGTAGTTTGAAAAGGCGTTACGTGGCTTCCATCTCAAGTTAGTTAACTACTCTTAAAAGTAAATTTGGTACAATGCTCTGCTTCTGGTTCAAAGTTCTGCGTGAGTTCTTTAAAGTCTTTTTTTTTTTTAACCATCTTGAAAATTCCTGGAACTAACTACCTTCAAGTTGTGGTTAGACTCCACTTAGAACTTGGAGCTAAAGTCCACATCCTAGAGCTATGGATTCTCTTAAATGGGACATGGCATATTTTCTATGTAGCCAGAGAAATGATCTTTCATTTAAACTACTCTCTGAGTAAGTTGCTACTTTTTCCCAACTCAAAACTCTGCTTCCCCACATGGACCCCCTCCCTTCTCCCCCACCCCCTGTGGTTTTCTGCTAGTGACGAATCTGCAGCTCTCGCTGGGCTTTTCCTCCTGACCCTGTCCAGGCAAATCCAACAGTGGGGCAGCGTGAGAACAAATGCCCAAGGAAAACTACTGGTCCTTCAGGCAGATGGAACGCCTGTAAAATGATGGAGCTTCTGTTAGACCATGGCTTCCTTCAGGTCCTTGAGAGCAGGTGCATGTGAGATACCCAGGAACTATTTACTGGATTAACAATTGAATTAAGTAGAAATTCACATGGAAAGCAATCCTTTTCTGGTTCTGGACTGGAATTTTCTTTTTCTTTTTTTTTTTTTTGGACTGAAATTTTCAATGTGCTTTCCATGCTGAAGACCATAGTGAGCCCTCTGGTTAGTGAGCAGAAGTGTGGCAGAGAGGAAATGAAGCTGGGAGTTTGCAGTTGAGTCTAAAGTTGTGGAAAGGAAGGTCAGAGGGCCCACTCTACATTTCCATACATTCTTCTTTGTTGGCCTCTGTGGAAATTAATTCAATAGTAAAGAGTATGTATATGCCTGGGGGTGGGGGGAGCCATCTGGATGCACATCTGCCAGTAGTTTCTTAGTTGAGTGCGAAATTGGTGATATCTTACAAGCTGACACAGCTGGAGCTATACTGGGGTGGATGCAGGTGTGAGGGCTGGGAACACTGGGATCTGGTCACGGGATGCCATCGTCCTGTTCCTTGACACATTGCAGAGTCTTCTCCATGTCTGTGTCTATTTGGACCAGAAGGTGTATTTTCTGAGCTGCTTCTTTGGAACATGCTTTCTCTGATGAGGAAACCAAGATAACCTTAAGTCTATTCCACAGTTAGAGTCTATGCCACCTGCCACACCAGAATCTGCCACACACCCCCCACTGCTGGTGGCCCTGGAAATTGGTACAACCTTTTCAGAACACAACACTGGGGCTATGTGTATATCTCGGTCACCTCTGCTGCATAACAAATTATTCTCCCAAATCAGCATTTAGTATCTCTTTGCATGGGGGGAGCTGGAAGACTGAATTATCTTAAGGCTTGCTCATTTACATGGCTAGTGGTTGATCGTGGCTATTGACGGGGGCCCTAACTGGGAATGTGGGTGGAATGCCCACACGGGGCTTCCACATGTGGCCTGAGCCACCTCATAATTCCAAGAGCAAGTATCTTGAGAAAGGGGTGGAGAAAGGGACAGAAGCATATTATCTTTTATAACCTAGACTTGAAAGTTCCACGTTTCTTCCACTGCATCCTGTTGATCGAGGCGGCTACAAAGAACTGACCATTTTCAAAG